AGGGCTGTGATATTTTCCTCTTTACAGGTTACCACCAGCATAGAGCAACAAGCCACTGAATCCAGTCTGTGTGAGAGAAACACTACTGCAGGACTCAGCACTCAGGGTAAAGACAGCTGGATCAGTGAACACTGCAGAGGATTGTCGAATGTTTTTGTCTACTAGTAGTCATGCTGATGATATTTTCTCCCATTTTTTCAGCCTCGGTGGACAGTGCGTCACTGATGGTGTCCGAGGTGGCTGATCAGGACCAGACATGCTCCTCAGAGGACTTGTGCTCCCTGGAGGTCCAGGGCTCTGACTCCTCTCCCTATGGCATGCTCCACACTGCCCCCATTGATGGAAGCTGCACCAGCCTGGAACTTTGTACACGCCATCGTGGCCTGCCTAACACTGACGCTCGCCCCAGTGATACAGGATACAGTGAGTCCTCACACACCCAGGAGTCTCTGGAACGCTCTCCGGACTGGTCCTCAGAAAACTACAGCAACATGGACCAGGAGGATTCCACGGACAACACACATCCATGTGAAGAACTCAGGGCTGCAATGCACATATGTGACGAGCTTGCATCAGCCAAACATTTACCAGAGGAGCCGCCTAAAGCATCAACTCACTCCCTCATTAAAGCACGAATGATGAGCCGGAAGCTCACTCTCCCCGTCACTCTCCCTCCGCCACCTCAGCCTTGCTCCCCCACCTCTGTGGCCTCCTCTGGTGGAACTTCAGGCATCAGCCCCTTGGCTCCTTCTCCTTCCCCTTCCCCTCCTAGCAGGCCACGCGGCCCCAGGCTGTGCTTCAGTGTTTGGTCATCCTCCTCCACATCACAGCCCCCCTCTACCTCAGCCCAAAGTGGCTACTCACCCTCAGAGAGGCCTCGGGTGTTTCGAGCAGCCAGGAGGTACCGCAAACTGGCACGCATTGTCCGTTCCACCAGTGACCCTATCTCCTGCTCATCTACGACAGCAAGTGAGTGTGGCAAAAATGTTACACAAGACTTACACTGCTGCACTACATCTAAGCATCACTAGAGTGATCAGCCTTTTAGAGCTTAAACAATTAGTCAGCTGATGCATCATTATTGAGTCATTTTTCAAGCAAAAAGGTCCAAACATTGTTTGGTTCCAGATTCTTTGGAATCATAAGGTTTCTGACTTGGTTTGAATCTGATTTAATCTGACAAGACAAATTTGTGCTACTTTCTGACATTTTATAGACTAAACAACTAATCAATTAAACAAGGAAAAAAATCGGCTGATCCATTGATAATAAGATTAATCATTGGTGGCAGCCCTACAGCCTTCCATTGTCAATAAGCAGAATAAGTGGATCACTCACTAGCAACCACTAAGTAAGTTTCTTGTCTCCCTCTGCAGGAGAAAATGTGAGCTGCACTTCTGCAAATAACCCTGCTGCTGAAGATTCAACTCATACATCACCAGAGCAAGGTAACTGTGAATTCATGTAATGGTGGGACATCTGCTGCTTAACAGCATTCACATCCCATTTTGTAAGGCAATCAGACTTGAAAGAAAAACTGTGAATCTAACTTAATTGAAACAAATACACAGTCACTGTCCGGTAAAAAACATTTAAAATGTTTAGATAAACTGAAACATTAAGTATTCTGTAATGGTTTCAGAAAATTTTAAAAAAGCCATTTTAACTAAGCTGATAATAACAATGTGTTTCATCGTGATGTATATGATTTCATGTGTTTTGACAGTTCTTCTTCATCTTATCTTCAGAGCCAACAGGCGTTTCAACAGATGCTGTTGGAGCAAAACCCAGTCACATATGTGTCAGGAAGCAGCAAAAGGAGGGCAGGAAAGTTGATATCCACCTTAAACCACGAGCCATGCACACACACTCCTCCCACGAACGCCCACACTCCCTCGCTGACCTGAAGATGTACAAAGACACCAAAATACTGGTGGCCAAGTTCCTGGAACATTCGAGCTGCAGTCTGCCTCCTGAAGTCCAGCAGGTTGTCAACAACATCAAGTGTGTCATCAAATCGGATGAGAAACACATGGAGGAGGCCATTTTTAGTGCCAATGTCATAGATCAGGTAAAATACGTACGTTAGCCAACTGCATGTTAACATGCATATTACACAATTATTAGATAACGCTCAACCAAAACTTGCTCCAGTATTAGATGAATTGAGGTGGTCTGGGTGTCGATGAAGTGGAATGAACCTTTGGATAATGAGTATAACCTTCACAGTATAGCTAGCTCCATTTATGGCAAGTAAGTTGGCCTTGCTTTGTAATGGATACAGCAAAATTACAATAGCAGTGGAAAAGGTTGTCAATGATATGTTATTCTTTTTGAGAGCTGCACTTATGCAGGTCTTTTCTACCTTAATGAATAAAGTACTTTACAAATTGCCCCTCGCTCACACTCACACATGATGGGTGCTGGCCCTGCCAATTTTGAGCAACTTGAGGTTCAGTGTCTAGCACAAGGACATTAGGAGAGGTGGAAACCGCCAACCCTGCCATTAGTGGGCAACCAGCTCTACTTCCTGAGTCACAGCTGCCACTGTGCACTTTGACATATTATAAAATGCAGTTTAAAGGTGGGGTATGCAATTCTGGAGAAATCCAATACCATGACAAATATGATATAGAGCAAACAACAACACAGCAAGTATTGTCAAATCATGGCTGCAACAGCTAAAATATTGTTGCTTGTTCCAAGCCACTTTGTTTTTTTCCCATTTACAGAGCCAGGGCTGAGTACAAACTCCTGATTTTCATACAGCATGCACAGAAAGGACAGGCAGCGGACCGTGAGGAGATAGTCGCTTAATTTGACAAAAAGACGTGTATTGAATTAGAATCACATATCCCACCTTTAATTCATTAATTAGAATTTTACATATAAATGTTGCTGACCTTTGTTAGGGAGTTGTATTGATTCAATAAGTGTATTTCAGCTCAGTTCAATAACTATTTAATAACATCGAGCAACGTGTCTCTCTCTTTCATTCCTGGGTATGTGTTGCACAGGTGATGACCCAGCGCACCATTGGCAGTTCCAGGAAGCATGGCCATGAGGATCTTCACCTTCAGAGCTGCGGTGCTTTGAGTTCATCCCCTTCCATGCGCCGTCCAAAACACCTCCCACAGATAACCAGCGCCTCCACCAACCCACTGGACTCCCCCTCCTCTGAACAAAGCCTTGAGTGCAAAGAAACCATTCTCTGACCACTCTCCCAACAAGGACTTGGATCAAAACTCTGGGGGCATTTCAGGGTGCTGGTGTTGCAGCCATGCTGTGCTGTGCAGCAGATGTCTATTATTAATGAAAGATCATTTATCTTCACAGTGTAACTGCAGCACAGGCATACTGACATGGTCTCATGCCGAATCTCTCAGTGCCCTGTGAGGCCGTGCCAAGTCATCAGCAGAAATGGTAGCAAACTCACACTGAGCCTGCCAGTGTCTGTAGTGGCTTCTTTCTCATCAGAAAAACAAAAGGATGTTTCTCCCTCAGGGGATCTTTTCTACAGAGTTTCATCTCTTAAAAAAGAAACAAATACACAGCTGGTACGTTTGGATCTGGAACTGAAAAACTGTATTATCAGTAATCCTCTTGTCATAAGAAATGGAAAGAAATATGTTTGTATTAAACTGTAAACTGACCGGGCATTACTAGCCATTGTTTGCAGACTTTGTGGAACTGTTACTGATAGGGTGGTGAATATTTTGTGGTGCCGCTGGTTAAAGAACATCACAGATGTGGATTATTTAACTTACCTCATTGTGTTACAATTCTTATCAGTGTTACAATAAAGTATGAGTTTATATCTTGTGGTTTGTGTTCTTTTTTTCCCATTGAATGTGTCGGGATCATGTGCAGGCATTAGCATTTTAAACATCTGGTCACCTCAACCAAGTCTGGCAAAAATAATAGAAACACTGGAAAATGATAGCCTTGCAATAAATACCAATCTGTTGAAGCTATTAATATTTGCATTTGATTTGTGTTAATGATGTTATAGTTGGTATTGTTCAAATAAATACGCAGTGATATTTCTTTTAGTCAAGGTTAGTAGGAGTCTACTGTCTCCTTGCAGAATTACCTACATTTGTAATGCTTGTGACTGACTGCAATTCTTTCAGCAGTTAGACCAAAGTTAAAAAGGCAGAGTGAGTAATTTTAAGTGAATTATCTTATGGTGAATATTAATTTGAACTATATGTGAGTTGTAACAGATGTTTGGAAACATTTCAGTTTCAAAGCAACTTAAAGAATTGGAAAGGATCAAGGCAGTCCTTACTGGATTTACTTGGTGCATACATAGGTTGACCTACCTATGATTTTCTGGTTACTCACTGCACAAAACCCCTCCAGACTGCTGACAAATAATAATTATTTAGGAAATGAATCAGCAATCATACAGCTAGTAATCTTTAACTGTACATGACATGAGATTACATGGAGATAGGCTTATGGTTAGAATTAGTTTGTGGCCCCAAAAGTTGTTTCCTAGTGTAGCTTTTTTTTTTTTTACACACATTTTATCTTCAGTCATTGGCAAACAAAAAATAAGTGTTTGAGTGAACACACCGGCCTTTCTTCAGGTTTCTGAATAAACCTGTTAATGAGAAGAGGTTTTAATGGACTGAATATATTTATTAGAAAAACTGTCGTACTAATACATTTGTAGGATTTTGTTTTTAAGACTGATCTGCAACACTTTAATATCCAAAATATGAACTAATAATTAAATCTGAAATCCTTATTTCATTATAACTGTAAAGTGTTGTTCCATTCAGCCGCGCGCTTCCGGCATTTGTGCACTACTCGCAGTATTGCAGTATCCAAATCGTTCATCATACGTGTAGACCTTAAAAGTCTACAGCCCACAAAGTGCTTACAGGCGCCAACCAACACTACAAGCAATTCCAGCAACAGATGAGCCACGCTTTCTTTATGCGACTAAGCGCTCAATTTATTTTGAAATGTATCTGCGCTCAAGCGGAAGTCACGCTGACTGATTACAGCCAGCTTCACGCGGCGCAGACATTATGTTTGGTAGGCAGCGATTCGTGGACATTGTGATACAAAGCCTGTGTCCGTAGTGTTTGTTACGATTCGGTTAGTTATATTACCAGGATCTGTTCCGTGCTCCGCAAGAAGAGACGATACTTGTTCTGGCAGTAGCTAATTGTGTCCTCGCGCTTACCGTTGCTAGCTAAGCGTGAAGTGGTTAGCCGTAAATAGGAGCTAACGTTAACGTCAATTCGGATTTGAAAATCATCACTGTTCTTGTCTGACGGTGGTTATGTGATTAAAGGAGCTCTAAACGCCCGTATATGCAGTCCTACATGGCCTACCAGAGAACCATGAAAAAGAAATAGCTGAAGGCGAGCGTCATATAGCTGGCTGTATGATTTGTATTTGCTCTGCTCAGTGCCACGGTTCCGTATAGCTGTCCACGTCTAGTCTCGCTGCTGTGTTTAACGTTGCCAGCTGAGCTAGGCCACGTCCCAGCGGGCGTATTTCATCTAACCGACTGACATTGGACGAGTAGAAGAGAAGATGCACCGTGTGCGGAAGGAGAGAAAAGACCAGTAGAAATGTAGAAACGTCTTGAACATTCATGATTTTCTTTGCAGTGTTTGTATTTCTGAACGGTTGTCGCACATACGCGGCATGTCACGTAGACGGATGTGTTGTACAGCGGGAGGATACTCTCACTGAGCTCTGGAGGTTGCGGTAAACAACCTGAAATAACGTTACACTTTTTTTTTTGAAATGGTTGGGTTTGGTGCAAACCGACGGGGAGGCCGCCTCCCGTCCTTCATCCTCATCTTTTTGATGGTGATCATCGCCATACTGTCTTTCAACTACTGGACAGTGTCCAACAAGCACGGCCGCTTGCTGGATGAGCTGGCGGAGGCACAGACGCAGGTGAAGCGCACGGACGCAGCGCGGAGCCGGCTGGAGAAGCGGAACTCGGAGCTGATGGTGCAGGTGGACACGCACAGGAAGCAGATCGACCAGAAGGATGGAGACTACAGCGTCCTGGAGGGCAAGCTGCAGGCCCGAGAGGCGCTCATCAAAAAGTGCACTGATGAAAAGGTATAGCAGCAATATCTGGTTCTGTATTTACTGAAAATCTGTCCAATTAAAGTTTTCACAGATTATGTAGTTTGATCACGATATCTACATAATGTGTCTGTAATTTCCTTACTCTATACCAGACAGAGGAAGATGTATTGGAAGCTTGCACAGCTCATGATGGAGGGAGACAGGGTTTCAGCTCATTTTTATCTGCTTTAAAGAGGAAAGGTGTTAGAGTCATTGTGAAGAGGGCAGTAGTTTATCTTGAGTAGTCTGTGTTACCAAGGGGCAGATAATAGATGCAACTTGTCCAAGGCAAGGAGCTCATTCATCCACATACAGTTTCATCCACCTCAACCGCTTTGACCTTTCTGCACCACCAATGTAGTGTTTTTCTAAATCAAAGCTCATGTCCCTGTATACTTTTGAAGAAATAAGGGTAATGGTGTTTCACTGTACCCGTGCAACTAAGCCACTTGTGGATGACTATCGTTTAGATAATGGATGTCTGTGTGTATTGGTTAAGGCTTCATGCTTTACACTACAGATGTACCTACTTTTAGCTGTATGTGCTGATGGTTGAACCCCTTGTCTAAATTATGAGCTGAGCTGATGGGAGTCCACATTAATTCCTCACAATACTGATGTATAGTTGACAAAAATGAGCCAGTTTGCTCGATTGTTTTGCTCTTCACAAACCCACAAAGCCCTACATTACTCCTACCTATCTCTCTATACTTAATAGGTTTAAATTCAAGACATCAATTCATTATTGCATTCACAAAGAACAACAAATGGAAGTAAACTTTATAGTGCATTTTAGATGTTTTATTGTTTCATTTCATTGGGACCTTTGTACTTGTTTGTGGAGCTTAATGTATTCACTGAGTGGCCTGTCCTTGCTCCACAAGGCTCTCGTCTCTGAAAATCGGTGTGCCATGGGAGACGTTTAGACAACGGGGGGGGGGTTCTTTTTTGTTGTCATTTGTTGCTTGTCTTTATCCCATGTGGGATGAACTTAACTGGGACACATAATTTTCATTAGAAGTAGAAGATGACTTTTTTCCTGTCTACAATGTCACTGGCAGCTATTTTCTCACCTATTTTTGAATTGGTAAACATACCACTACCCACTGATGATTACTGACTTGTACACTTCAGAAACAGTATATTTGCAAGATAATCTGCAGGAATATCAGGAGGAAGGTTGTTAGTTGCAATTCATTTGCTGATGAGCTGTCCTTGACCAAAACACATCTCACTTCCTCCCAGCTGCTTGAGTGGAGTTACTTAGTAACCAATAAGAGAGCACTGCTTGTAATGGGCCATGCATACATACATAATGGGTATACATGCTTAGTGGATAAGGTTTGTATAAAGAAATCATAGATGGATAAATCAACAAGAGTCACTCGTCAGCCTAATGGGGACATTTTTTAAATGATTTTCCTATTCTGAAACTTTTCTCCCGCTGACCATCCACACACTGTGTTTATGAGCCAAATCCCAGAGTCTGTGTCCAAATCAAATCATAGCAAAAAAATGGCCCTGTAACAGTTAGCTTTCTGTTTAGTCGCCTGCTGTGCTGGCTCTGTCTAATCTCCTACAAATTGACATGTTTTACGGACTATTGTATGTTTTTATTCCAAATGTGCATGCTTCATTTTTGATATCTAAATCCCTGTTGGCAGCTTTAATTGTTTGACACAGAAAACCATCTTTGTATAAGAGATCTAAAAAGCCAGAGCGTGGATGTTTTTCTTGTCGTTGAGGCGAGTACAGATGGAAGCGTGTGGAATTAAGAGGATTCAAAGCGCTATAGTTTCCGTAATCAACGTCAAGGTATATCAGTTGTTCCACTCCTTTCTTTTGTCAACAGCCCAACCCTGTTTCAACAGAGCAGGACATGGAACATGCAGTGAAAGGCCTGCAATGCAGAGAAAATACAGTTGAGCCTTAACTGTAGCTGTGTACCCATTAGTTGCAAGAATGAATCATGCAAGCTTATAGTTCTTCTGTAAGCAGTCTGGCCGTGTTGTTGTTTATACAGCCAATTTTAGCAGGTTGGGGAGGCCATTAACCACTTGGACAGAGTGACAGGATGAAGCTTTGGTCTTGACAACAGTTGACAGTGTATTTCCTGTCAACTCTTTTCCTGCCGCCCTCTGTGTCAGTCATTTATTACTGATTCAAAACAGCATAATCCAGAGAAGCCTCAAAAACTCCTCCTGCGGCATAATTCACTTCACCACTGTCCATTCATGTGCTCAGTGACAAAGAGTCATTGTTATGCCACAATATGGTTAAATGTGCTTTCTTTTCTGTGGTATTTTTCTCCCTTGAACCCCCACCAGACATTGTGTCTGTCTTCATTAGTATTAAACCTACAGGGATTGGGTGTTTGGCACTGTAAAGATTATGGTCCAAGTCCAAGGTCCAAGTTTCCTTCTTAACTTGCTTGCTCCTGTCCTCCCTTCAAGAGTGTCTACATACAACTGTGAGTTTTATTAAAACTCAAAATAAAGAGCAGCCCACAGTTTCAGTTAATAATATTGCATCAGTGCATGCTGCAGGTACAGATTTAAGTTTCACATCAGCCCTGGTTATTACAGAGCTGTTCTATTGGATTGCATTACAGTGTTCAGGGATTTCTACTTTCCTGCTCACTCAGTGTTAGTAAAGTGCCTAAGAAAAGTGAGTGAGATGCTTCATTTTCCCATTAGCAGTATAAATCCTATGACATTATTTCTCAGCTTGAGATCAGCAACCATGCATTGAGTTATCTGTCTAGCACCTCATACTGGTTTTGCAAGAACTGTCTCGTGGCAGTAACTAACTCAAATGTCACACTGGGTGCCATCTGTTTGTGCTGTGAAGCCTTGTTACACAGAAAAACAAGACAAACCTGTTCATGCTGATTTTCCTGGTGCTAACTGTGCAACTGTATAGTAATTGGATAACCTTTTGCATAGTTTAGGCTTATGATTTAGCAGGGCAACTCTTAATAAACTTTTCTTGAACCAGTTCTACGTTTATAGGAGTCAAAATGTATGTAGCTCTCCCTCAGCTGATAAGATTCCTGAAACTGTTTTTTTCCCTTTGTCTTCTGTACAGGTGAAGCTACTAGGTGATGTCACAGCCCAAATGACAGAAATCCAGAGGCTTAAAGGTAGGACTTAATCCATGTCTTGCCAGCAGAGGGCTCACTCTCTCAATTCAATTCAAATTTTCTTTATTGGTATGAATGTTAATAGAACAGTATTGCCAAAGTTTCAAGGAAAATACAAAAGAACAAATCAATTCATAGTTAAATTAATAAAAAATATATAACAGTAAACACCTATGTGTTAAAAATATCTCAATAGATGTGTAATTATTGAAAGTCTCCTCATGAAGTGTTGGTGTTCCTTGAACAGACACTAAATCTTCAAAATATTGTGTGTATGTGTGTTTCTGCAAACAGAGCAGCTAAAGGATCTCAAGCAGGAGTTCATGAAACAGGAAGAGCAGCTGAGAGAAGTAAAGAAAAATAGCACCACCTTGGAAAGAAAACTGGAGTATGAGAGGTATGTTAAATCTTCACAACTTCCTGTCAGCCTTAATGACTGCATTTTTTCCCTCATTTTAGAGGAACCGTGACATGATCAAAATGTGAATTTTTGCTTCTAAAATTATCCATTATTATGACAGTTATTGTTTTTTCACGTAATTAGTCACTAGTCATATGATACAAGCTAATTGATTGTCTTAATTTCCTATTCTCTCTTGCCTCTCTATAAGGCTGATATAACCTCATTGATATTTCACTCATATTGGGTGTTATAGGGCTTCTAGAATAGATTTATACATAACTCAGTTTTGCCAAAAAAAAGTTTTGCCTCTTTGCCCAAATCAGTTTCATAGTATGGTTAGAAGGAATCCTAGATTATGCGGGTGAAATTTATGAGAAATATGTGTTAACTAGTTTACAGTGTGGACGTCAAATTGCACAACTAAAAGAAGAGTATGAAGAAACGAAAAAGACCTTGGAGGAAGAAGCATCGAAGCTAAGACAGGTTAGTATTGATAAAATCCTGAATCCTGATTACTTTTATTCAGCACTGTAGCATTTATTCATTACACTTGGATTTTTAATACAGATGTACAGATAGTAGCAGCCAAACTCCAGAAATTCCCCTCTGTGTCTCTTCCTGTTAAAGCATCACCATTCATTAAGCAGTTTCTTCTTTTTGTTTTCTCATATACTCCTTTTTTCTGATTCACCGTTTATAATTCTTCAGAGTATGATGGACGGCCAAAAGAATGTAGTGGCAGGTAGACATGCAGAGGGAGCGCCTGGTGTGAGGATGGTTGGAGAGCGCCATACGGTGGCCACTCATGGGCACGACAGTCCAGATTTAAAAGGTACGGTGGGTGTGACTTTCTATAACCAAAGCTTATACTGTCTTGACTGTTCTTCCTTTTGTTGCTATGCACACGCTAAGAAAATGCCCATGCACCTCATATAAACCTTGCAGAAATGTAACTGATGTGTAATTACACTCTGTTAGTTTCCTGTGCATGTTATTCCTGTTTATGTAAATGTGTAACAGGGAACTCGGCAAACTATTTTAATGTCCACCAATCCACCACCTAAGACACATTCCTTCTGCTCTGTTACAGAAGAGATGGGGAAGCCTGGCAGTGACGCTGGCATGCCTGGTATAGAAGACAGTGAGGTGGGAAAAATCGATGATGTGCAATTTGGTAAGCAGAGGACCTCAACTTTCAAGAATTTCTTTTTAGGTTTTTTATGGGCAGAGCAAGATCAAGTAAAACAATAATAGTGTATAGGCCAATTAGGTTTTAAATATGGACTCAAATACATTTGTTGCCTTATGATTTTAAACCTGCAACTCGTTGAGAGGACTATAAAAAGCCAAGGCTGTGAGAATTAAACTACAAACATGTCAGTTTACCAGTTAAAAAACTGTAAAGTTGAAACAGAAACTGGATAAAAATAACTAACCAATGGACTACAGATGGGACTCTCAATCCTACTGTACATAGCGCTGTGGCAAGGTCAGGAAATGCCACCATATATGTATTATATATATATATATATATATAACTAAATGTGATGTCAAAAAAATCCCCTGCTTTTCTGGAGTTGTGGCTCCAAATGCCTTCTGTATTTCTGTCCTTGCGGCAAATGAAAAGAAATCCACCAAAGTTATCATACTGTCCGAGCTTTCTCACTTTGCCACTCCATTTATCTACAGCCTTGAAGAAACCAGCCATCACTCAGAAGCATGATGATGTCCCTGATGGGGTTGTGGGAGCTGGTGCTGGACCCGGAGTCGGGGCAGCGGATGGCCCTGGGGGCCAGGGCCTGTCTCTGGACCAGCCCAGGCTCCAGCAGGACAGAGTGGAGGGCCGAGCAGCAGTGGTTGCACCCCCGGGCATCATCAAACAGGCAGACAGACCGGTAGTGTTTGAAGAAGACAACAAGGCAGGTATCAAGGCAGACGAACTGGGAGAGCAGCAAAGACAACTTCAAGGTATAGAATGCACAGTATCCATATAATTTGTATTAATGATTATTGTCTGTCTTTTGAACCTATAGGCATGTGATAATTAGTTATCAGGCTATTTGTTTTCAATGACGTTTCTTTTACTGAATCTATTGCCACTTTACTGTGGTATAACAAAGTTGTTATACCACAAAACAATTTTGGGCCTTTTGATGTGTGATTTTGGACAAACATACAGCAGAACCTAAGTCTTTTTGTTATTGCCAGCTCCTGATAATGTCAAGGTTGACAACGAACACGTGAAGGGGATTCCTCTGCCACCCAACCCAGCCCAGGTGCCCAACCCCATCCAGCCTCACCACGCCAAAGACCAAGTTGCAGCAGAGCCAGTACACCACCGCCAAAGTGAGTTCCAAACCCGGCACTAAAGGTGTTGTTTTTTTTATTAATAACCTGTTGATTGACTTTGAAGGGGTGGGTGAAAATATAACATGAAAAAGAAGTATACTTACAGTTGTTCTTGTTAACTTCGTCTTTGTGCTTAGCTGCTGCCTCGCAGCTGTCTGTAATGTGTGTCAACACAGAGTAAAACACAATTTGGTGTTATGCCATCGGTATGAATTTTGCCCATTGCTACCTGGTTACACCCCTACTTCTACATTTTCATGAAAGTTAGAATTTCTAACTGAGTATCTGTTGGAAAGTCATGTCTGAATATGGGTAGGAGCACTGTCAGGGAGCAGAGACAGGGCTCGGTCGCAGAGGGCAGGAGACAAATGACACACACCTGGCTCTCAGATGATCCTTTCCTGCTGCCTGGCTTCTGCTCTGCTGGTGTTTCTCCCTCCTCCTCCTCTGTTTTGTTCTATTCTGTCATCTCCCTTCACATCCACGTCACCCTCTTACAACACTGACTGTATTCAGTGCATGTCTTCATTTGTTTTTCTTCTAATCTTCTGCCTCTGATCTCTTTATACTTGCATCCTATTATGGCAAATTAACACCCGACACCCACCAGATGTCTCATTTCTGGAAGTGTCTGTTGCTCACCAGACACTAGCAGCCCAAAGACACTGCCTGACTCAGTGCATCTCAAGTCCCCACCCAGTCCTGTCGTGATCATTACTGCCATCTCAAATCTTTAGGAGGCTAGACAGGAACGGAGTTGAGGAGTTTAATGACCAGTTTTTCTGATTAGCAATTTCAGAAACCTCAGATCAAGTCATTTTGACTTTTACACAATTTGTGCTTGTTTAATTGAAATGTCTCTAGTTTGGCCACCTGTAACAATAAAAATGTATGTTTAATGTTAAAAGCAAGTAAGACATTGAAAAATATTGTCGAAATTTATAAGATTGGAAAATGTCACTGTTACACTGTGACTTGTTCATATCAACAGTACCCAGTAAATAAGTCAACTTCTTGCTTTTAGTTTAAACTTCCTGTATTTGAACACATGTCAACTACTAGTTTATTATAGAATATAGAACAAGTTCAATCCTGCCTCTGTATCTGAAACTGCATTGAATGGAGGTGTTTGTGATTAGTACACGTTAATAAAGGGGGACAACATGTTAGAATGAAACACGATACTTCCTGTGTCTATGGCTTTAACAGTTACCCTCGAGTTTAATCAAGACTTTTCACAGTACCCACAAAAACACGAAACACTGTACAGATGATTAAAAACTCAATTAGCACTCAATGCTTTCCAGACTCTCCCCCATTATAAGGGAACCCCATTTGTTTCAACTCAGCTCTCTGCTTTAACAATGTCTGTCTTCTAATTAGCATCTGCCACCATCCCTTCACCTCATCTTCCTTATCTTTTGTCATCCTCTTCATGCGATCACCTATTCCTTCATGCATTCATTATGCAGTATTTCACCCATTCCGCCCTCTCTCCCTACAACTGCCTTCGCTTCCCTCCCTTCCTGATGAGGCCCTTCTCTGCCTCCTGCAGGCCGGTTCTTTGATGAGAACGAGTCCCCAGTAGATCCGCAACACGGCTCTAAGCTAGCGGACTACAATGGGGATGATGGGAACGTGGGTGAGTATGAGGCCGACAAGCAGGCCGAGCTGGCCTACAATGAGGAAGAGGATGGTGATGGTGGGGAGGAAGACGTCCAAGGTGAGCCAGGCTGGGGGACTGGATTGCCTGTCCAGATGTGTATCCACCATTCCCTACCTTGCTCCTTCCCTCCACCCCTGTCCTGCTGCTCCCCCCCCTCCCCTGCATTTGTCCTGACAGTTAAGAGTAGCTCACAGTACCCTGAGTTTGGTCCTTGAAGACATCCTAAACTACCGATATTTAAGAATGATGACACAAACGTCTTCAGGGTCAAAGCAGGACTGCTATGTATGCAGTTCAGGATGAGTAACTCAATTGTGTCAGGCATTTTTTTCCTGTATAGACACAGTAACAATCTTAGCAAAAAACTTGACCCAGGAACTTACGGTTCTGTGAGAGTAATTCAATTGCCATCTAGTATTTTCGCTCCTGCCTGTGCTTCTTTTTAGCTATACCACCTGTCTGTGCCCACCAAACATCTGACCCACATCTAGACCAGTAGATAAATATAGCTCACTGTGTTTGTGAATGTGTCTGTGTTCTCCTTGAAATATTGAAATGCATGCCCACATTCTTTTCTTTGTTATTGTTTCCTACCATGAATTTCTGATTTGTGAATGTTAGTATTTATACTGTGTTTGGAGAATACTAGTTTTGTTTTCATCCGTCTCGAAAAAAGTTTTGTCATGTTAAGAGTTTGGCTGTGATTTGTCATTTATGTGTTAAACGGTTTGTATACAATCTCTGATTTCCATTAAAAATCTCGGGTGTCTTTGTTATTTTAACGATCAACATGGAAGCTAATGAAATGCTAGATAGATGAAGGAAGTGTTTTTTGCCAAAATTTGATGGAAATTTCTTCTACAGTAACACATTGTTGTTAAATCAGGGGAACGGGTTGCGAGTCCTACACTGTTCACACAAGATGGTCATAAGCATCCTCAAACACCGTTAAAGCAGAAAGTCGGCACTTTAATCTTGAATCATTATTTCATTTCAAATCCAGTGTGCTGAAGTATTTCCCAAACAATGAAAAACATAAATTCTCATACTTCATTACTGCACTGTGTGTTATTTTTATGGATGTACACAGATCAGAATAAAAGTATTGATGTAATTGGACTGATAGCGAGGACATTAAGACAGTTAAGATCATTCATATGTGATAAAAATGTTTTTTTTAATGTTATAATGGAGTATGGTTAACTTAATTCAGTGTATTGTTTATTACTTTATCTCTAATGTGTTGCATTCTTTTCCCCACAGATGATGATGATCGAGACATGCAGGGAGACCGGGCTGTGGATTATGGGAAGAGACATCAAGCCATTGACATTCTTTGAAAGGGAACTCAGCCTAACTCATTAAAAATAATCAGACCTTCCTCTACAACCAAGTCTTTCTTAACAAAATAGTTTGAACATCAATATGTTTAAGAATTTTTAGAGTACATTCTCCAATGTCATGGACTACTTTGGAAAAAAAACTGACATTGCAACTAATGAATTAATTCTGAATAACGTAAAATAATACAAAGGAAAAAAATCATGGCATTTTCCTGTGCTGCTGTTGATTTGCTGATGGGCATAAGTTATGGCAGTAGAGATGTTCCTTGACTGTTGAGTTTTGTTATTTGATAACTGCCTCAGTTCATAATGAAGTGGTCTAAAGGAGCCCTCTTGACTCACATCTGAACTTCAAGGTTGAACCATGTTTTGTTTTTGCTACTTTTCTTTTCAGGTTGGTTGCTTGATATAAACAATCTCTTCACCAGAGATGTTTATCAATGGGACTAATTCGGCATTCAGCCTTTCTAACATAATTTTGGGACTCTTACATGGAAGACTTACATTTTTTTAATTTACAGGAGGGGAATGCATCACAAATGCCAAGGACTTTGCTTATGGCCTATTAAATCATTTAATTTTCTTTGTGACAGACACTCAAATGTGCTTCTCATTCTCTTTTTTTAAATGATGCCATTGCATGCATTTGAACCTTTTTTTATTAATAATCCAACTGAGCAAAATACTGATGCTTAAGCAATACTTAGTGATTTTAGGATCCACAGTTTGCAAAGCTTAACAAAGTACATATGGAAGTGACTGACTGTACACATGCTTCCATTAATGAGGTCTCTTGTACATAATGTAGATGAACTGTTACCATTTGTACTGAGGAAACCTAATTCCTCATCTTTAGGGAAATCCGTGAACATGAAATCAGTTCTGTTTGTGCAGCCAGGAAAATTGATTTCTCATGGAAAGGCACATTGAATGTAATTTAATTTTATTAAAGGTGATGCTTCATGTCATTTTCAGTTGTCAGAGTGCTTAAGAGTCTTATGTAGATGTAGAAGTGATCATTGTCCTCAGTAGTGAGTGGATTACACGGGTGATGCAGCTTTTAATGTTAAGAAGTCTGTCAAGCGCCTATATGCCTTCAATTCATAATTGTAACATCTAAGTATATAACGTTACAGCCAGATATTCATAAGTGTCCGATCAATTGTTTGAATATTCCGTCATTTACTACTTGCTTGTAAAAGAAGAACCACAAAGACGTGCAGTCCTCCCTTTATGAAAGCCGTGAGGGGAGAAAAAGGAAAGTGGTAGTCTTCGCTGCAGACTGGCTAGTGTTTTTGAGAGGTAAGGGGGTGTGTCTGTGTCCCATACGGGTATCTGCCTTCGAGAGACTGAGCAGAGGCGGGAAATGGCGCCTGGTATCACAACGATGTGTCATTTCGGAGACGGCCCTTGGGTAGATATACAGTGAAAGTCTGCTCTGATCACGAAAACAACCACCGGCTCTGTTGTGATGGTTAATCGGCCTTGAGTCGTTATCTCCAGATACTGCGGATCACCATAAAGTAAGTCGATAACGTAAACCAACCGTGTCCGTGCTTTGTGTAATTTGGCTTGGGGTTTATGTAATGTTTGGCTAACGACAGGATAAATATTCCCTTCCCTGCCTATGCACATCTGTTAGCCCGAAGCAGTTTTTCAAGAAAGCTATGTAGGGTTAACGCTAAGCTAGCTGTGCTAACATCAATAGCTACGGGAAACTAAAACACGGCCTACCACGGACCTGACTTAGACGTCTTAACCTTTGCCAATTTAGGTTCCTTGTAGTCTTTGCAACTAATCCATTCAAAAAATGCTCGCTAGAATAATAATCATACAAATTGTAACTGTTAATATCTCGTTTGAACAATGAACAGCTAACCTTAACTAACGTTTTTAGCTTGCATTGAAGCTAACGTCCAAATTGGCATTCCCCAACAGAACTTCGCTAGCGTTAGGTGTAACGTTACATTAGCCAACACCGTCTTTTCCATTTAATATCCTTCCAATGGGTGTTGAGCTGGACGTGTGCATGTAACGTTACCGTACCATTGGTTATTGAAATTCTATCAACTGCATTGTTGTTGGTGAAAGATAACGTTGACTGGATTTAAACGTAATTTAAACAACGTTATCGTGGTAACATTAGCTAACCTAGCTGTTTTGATTAACGATGTCTGAGTTTCACTGTCTAACACCGCAAATGTTAACAAGGTACACAATTAGAGGAGACAATCGAATCAAACCACTCAGCAACTGCCATGCATGTTACTTAGTACTTTAGTTAATAATTTAACATTATTTCGCTCAACTTCCGATGCCGCAATGGCTTGCTAACGGTAAGTTAGCCTGTTTGGGCTTGCCTTGTTGAAATGCTAACGTTAACTTACCTGGAACCTGCCTTGAAAGCCGATTTGTATTGACGTTATCAGTGTAACGTGTAAAACCTGAGAGTGACCAAACAAACTGTACTTAGTTAAGCTGTGTTGCACACCTTCGTAACCCCTGACGCGTTAGGTTAACGGACGGTCTCTTGTAGTTCGTTTAGGTCGCCTTAGCTCAATAGAGTTAGCGGCAGAGCTTGGTAGTCGTGTTTTATTAAACGTTAGTGCAACTTTTACAAACGTTGATTTTGGGCTTCAGATGTGTCGTCTGCCTATATTGTATTTGTTTCAGTTATATTTGCTTTAGCGACTTCTTAAGCCAGTTAGCTAACCTTAGCTTCAGAGTATGTGTTTTGCAGTGGACTGGCTGGCGGAAGGGCCTCCACTGTGTTGTCCATGGCTAGCGTTTACTAGCCCGCTCATACAGTCTCAGTGGCATGCATGTTCTTATTTCCCGCTCACTTGCTCGTACATAGCTATGTGCTGGATCCTTGGTTAATAGCGATTGCCTTGAAATATTTAAGTTTACGAGCTATGGTGGTGTTGCCATGCGAGCCATGGCGAGGTTTGGTCATACAGTAAATGTAACAGGCACTTGATATTTATGTTTATTTTGGCAACAATAGGGAAACCTGATGTGTTTATACCAACACATGCAAAGCATAAGAGCAGATAACAACAGAAAGACTAAGAGGAAGCATAAGAGGAATAATGTATCATCTCCAGGAACAACACATGAAAAAATTCCATATATGATAGACTTTAGTCAATCACATCACAGGGGAAATCTCATCTCAGATTCAGGAAGAATGCCAATTTGCAGCATCTGTCAGTTTTTCTCATGAGGTTTCAGGAAAATGTATTCTCTCAGGAAGCCAAATAGTAACCGCTTGAACTGTTGGTGCATCAGTTTCAAAAACTGTGTGACAAGCCATTGAGTATACACACACATGCCTTGCATTACCAAAGACAGTAGTTGTCATAGGGAGACTTTAATATTGGAAACCTGTGAGATTTTAGGATTTGCTCAACAACACTTGATACTGCGGCTTGAAATATTTTTTGAATATTGGCACACCTGACCATCTCAACAAGAAATAAACACTCGGCCAAAATATTTACTTCAAGGCTTTTGAAGTTTTCCTGCTCTTTGGTCCATCCACTGTTTTTGCTAAAGAAAATTCTGTCTCAAAAAAGGAGTATATCATTGTGGTGCTAGATATTATTTCCTGTATTACATCATATAATTGAAAGGAAGTAGAGTTTTAGTAGGTAAGAGGCAAGTTATTATAAACTGTACAATGTAACTTGGGCAAGATAATATAACTGTTGTAGTTCAGATAACATTAATTTATGTATTAAGAAGTGAGTGCCAGTATTGTATGTATGTTGGGGTGTAAAATAATTTACAGAATCTCAAACACAACAAGAGAGGTCCTCTTCTACAGTAGTAGTACAGTGGCCCAAGGTTGCACTCAAGATCAGCATCTTTGTAGTGGCGGTGGTGCAGTGGTAGAAAAAATATCCTGTATACTTTGTTGTATTATTATGATGGACATGAGTGTTAGCTTTCCATAGAGGCACTGGCATTTATTCTGTTAATCTAATCTCTGAAAAACGCAGCCAAAGAAAGACATTTTCACATAGATGTTAAAGCCCAGTGGCTTTTCATAGACGTTCCAGTGTAGCCGACGTTCTTCGGTAGCACCCCCAAATTTAAAAATGTTTTGATGTGAGTGATAAGTTGGATGCTATAATAAAATCAGGGAGTAATTCCTTCTCATACTAGTACACTGGCATTCATGCAAGTTCACTGTCTAGATCTGCTAATTTATTTCATACTCTGAGCTGTCACAACTTTCCCGGCTCAACCTACTTCTCCTGCCTGCCTGCCTGCGACTTTAATGTTATGATGTACTCTGATGCTGTTGGTGTTTTTGTGTGCGCATGCAACAATATGTACACGTCCTGGTGTGTTCATGAATACACCACTGTGTAAAAGTAAAGCAGATGTAGTAAAGGGATTTACAGTACGAGATGCACAGTAGGGATTGAGTGGTTGCTATTACGTGTTTAGGGTTACTGACAGGTTGGGGATATTGTCGGACACATTTTCAGCCAGCTGCTGTTACGTAAGCGCAAGGGGCTGGCATGCTTGACAATTCGTGTTCACTGTGAATAGTTTTTAAGTTTTTCCCGTGCATACTTGTGAACAACGCAACCAATTAAATCCCTCAACTCTCAAGATTAAGGAGTGTATTTCCTTCAGATAAGTTTCAGTTCAGATTGTGTACATTTAAAAAATCTTTGACCACGTCTACAGTTTTTTCAGTTACAGTATTTTGTTGTCTCGACCTAATCATCATTCTTGTATGTACACAGCTAATATAAGGGAGTGTTTGAGTGTGTGCGTGTATAGTAAGATCCTCGGTAATAGTTTATTTTGTGTGTGGTTTTTTATTTTTTTTATACTGTACGAATGGAAGTAAAGCCAGCTGTGGCTGCCGTGATGTAAGTGAAATGGGATCTTGAATGCATCCAGATGTTGGTAGAAAATGCGCCAGTATTACCCCATTACAGATGGATACACCCACTGACTTATCCATTTTGAAAGTTAAAACAGTTGAGACCGCTAGAACAACCTGTGTGTCCACCTTAACAGTTGGGTATTTGCTTAAATGGGTTTCTGACTGTACATTTTGATTTTCTGTGTCTCTTTCTGTATCTGCTGTCTTTCCCCATGTCTGACTTTTTTAACCAGCCTTACATGTGACTGCTAAAAACAATGAGGCTGAGAATGCGTAAGGCGTCTCAGCAGCCCAACCCCAGTCTGGCGAGCCGCCCATCCCGTACCAAGAGGAGGCATTCAGAAGTAGAAGAGGACACTCCTACTAGTGGAGGGAGGGGCTTGTTCTCGACCATCAAGAAGTTCATCAGAGGAAATGCTGTTAAGGTAACTACTTCTATAATCACATCAAATGACCCAGGTTTTTAATTGAGTTTAATTCAAACGCGAGCGTAGCGCCCCTTCTTGGAGCATTGAAATATTGTAGCTGAGGTTTCCCGCCTCCTCTCAGTGTATTTGGTTTAACTGTGTCGCCTGAGCTTTTTGGCACTTCTCTATTTTTCAGACTGTATTTAGCACTGTGCTCTACAGGTCGCTGAGTTAAATACAGTGTTTCTTGGTGCACAGTGTCATGTTTCCCGTGAACCGTTTGGTGGAATGCAGCAGCTTGTCTGAGGACTGGGCTCTAATTTTAGCTCCTTGCTCACAGAGTTGGTGTGCAGGGACAGGATGTAGAAACAAGTGGAAAAGTCAACTTGGCTAAAGAAGCTTTTCCTATGGAAAGACATGGGTTTTATTTTTGATGTTTTTACACGATGATTATCACTTTGTGGTTCCTGCATTTCCTCATTAAATCTTAATGTAAGACTTGTAGCTACTTCAGTTTTTTCTGCCTACCTGTATTTTTTATTTTTATTTTTTTGATGTCTTATGGTCTCTATATACTATATGATAACAGTGATCTGGTAGGTTCATTGACTGTCACAGCATGCACGATAGGTATAGTAGTATGGGTTTGCAATCTGTGACAAAGTGTGTGATATCTATTTTGAGGCAGTTCAGATCGTGCGAGGGATGTCTGGTGAATCGTAGTGCCATGAAGTAGAGAAGGAAAAAAAAAACACCACTCATGTTTTGAAAATACAGAAGGAAAAACAACAAGCCATATCATTAAACTTTTTTTTTTTTTTTTTTTTTTTGCTCACACTTACACTTCAATTCAAAATACAGCATAAAAGTTGTCAGTCGGCATGTTCTGCGTTATTTCATGCCGTGTTCCGATTGGTAGATTTGATATAGGTCAAAGCAGAAGATACATATCTCTGTCTCTTTCAGAATTCTGTCTTTGGTCACTAAAGTTTTCATTTGGCTATTTGTGAATGTGTCTCACAGTGTGATCTAGGACCACCATTTTGGATTGACACGGATTTCACTACGTTTCTTTCACAGTTGTCTTACTTTCATCAGAGACAGACCAAAATTTAGAGTTTATAGGCTCTTAGTAGTTTAAAAAAAACACTTTGACTTTTTTTATTAAATAACTTTTTCACTGCATGACGTCTGGTCTCCTTAAGGTGCAGCAGGAGAGCCCAGCCAAGAAGACGCGCCTCCACTGTGATGTGGACAACAACCTGATCACCTCCACCACCCCGAACACCAACACCCCCCGCAAGACTATCAGCAGGGTTGGCAGGAGAGGCTCCCTAAATGGACGTGAGTGGCACATGAAAAAGACTAATCACTAGTCTTTTATTTTTTTTTTCTTCTCCTAAAACTGTTACTTCACCCCTCCAGAGGCCACCAATCATGACAGGAGTAAAGAGAAGCCGAACGGCAGTCTGGAGGAGACGACGGCTGTTGAGGTGGCCACCAGCCCTCCCAGAACCACCCTTCTTGGGACCATCTTCTCCCCTGTTTTCAACTTCTTCTCACCAGCTAAAAATGGTAAGCTGAAGCAACCTGTTTGATTCATGGCTAACACCGTAGACAGAGACTGTGTATTATGTGTAGGGCTGTCGCAGTGAAGTAATTTCCCCCGCTGCAATATGTTGGGGCTCAACAGTGCGGTATTATTGCATTTTTCATCAATGAAGTAATTTGGTGCCATATAGCTGAGTAAGAGTGTCTGTGGATCTCACCCATCTCACCTCACTGCACAGCGAGCCGCTAACATCAGCTTTATGGTCGGAGTAAACTGGCTGCTGGGTGTTAGTCAGCAACATTGGCAAGCAAACTCATTTTTGTAGTTTGACAGTGTCTCTTTCATATGTAACATTAGCTATATTGTTACCTTAAGGGCATGTCTATCAAGTAAATTTACATACCGCAGCAACCCACAACCCAATTTACTCATTTAACACGCACTGAAGTGTAAAGTATGAACATTGCCATCCTTCACATCAGGCTTGACCAATAGTGCGGTATTTCAATTGTGCGGTTATCGTGACAGCCCCAACTGTGTAAAATTTGGTGGACTGAATTTGTGAGTCACCCATATTGGCCTGCAGTACATGTAAAGCTCCACCACTAAGTTTCTTTTTTACACATTCATACTTCTATTCTGATGTTGCACCACTGTATTAAATAGTATGCAGTGCTTTTTTTCTTGTATCATGGTGTACAGTTCTGTGCAAAAGTCTTAGGCTGGTTTTGAAAATAGACATGTTAATAGATTATAGTTATTAATTACGAAATGCACCCCGAGTGAACAGAAGAAAAAATGAAAATCAAATCCGTATTTGGTGGGACAACCATTTGTCCTCAAAATAGCATCACTTCTTCTAGGTAAACTTGCACGTAGTTTTTGAAGGACCTCGGCAGGTAGGTTGGCCCAGACATCTTGGAGAACTACCCACAGTCCATCAGGGCCCTGTGGGGGCCATACCATCACTTGCATGACTCCTTTTTCTTCTTTACGCTGAAGATAATTCTAAAAGACTCTCTATTTGGGGTCATTGTCATGCTGCAGAATAAATTTGGGGCCAATCAGATGTCTCCCTGATTGTGTTGCATGATGGATAAGTATCTGGCTGTACTTCTCAGCATTGAGAAATCCATTTATTCTGACCAAATCCCCAACTTCGTTTGCAGAAAAGCAGCCCCAAACTTGCAAGGAACCTCTACCATGCTTCCCTGTTGCCTGCAGACACTCATTTTTTTTATCGTTCTCCAGACCTTCAGCGAACAGACTGCCTTCTGCTGCAGCCCAATATTTCAAATTTTCACTACTCAGTCCAAGCACCAGCTGCCATTTTTCTCCACCCCAGTTCCCGTGTTTTCATCCATAGTTGTTCTGAGCTGATAGCACTGGTGGACATCTTCCACTTGCGAAGTGATGTAAGCATGATGTTTCAACCTACATATTGAATTTATAATCAGTAGAAACTGTTAGCTTAAATTGTTCAATCATACACGTGACGTTATGCCTACAAAAACCTAACTTTGTGCAAGTGTACCTAGAAGATTTGATGCTGTTTTGAAGGCAAAGCGTGGTCACACCAAATATTGATTTGGTTTTTCTTCTGTTCACTCACTTACTGTATGTCTTTAGGGTACGTTATGTCAGGATGGTGTGACACAGCTGAAATGTCTTTTTTTTTTGTATTTGTTTTTTAGCTTCTTCTGGTTCAGACTCTCCAGACCAGGCGTTGGAGGCTGAGGAGATAGTCAAGCAGCTGGACATAGAGCAGGCTGTGGAGATGCCCACAAGCACAGCCACATCCACACAGGAGCTGTGTGCCACCACTAACTTCTACTCTAGTGTATCACAGCTGCCACCTCTGCGACCTCCCCACATCCCCGAGGGGTCTCCCACAGCGGTGGAGGGAGAGCTCGTTGCTGATGCTGACCTTCCGCCCCTCACAGGTAGATACTGCAGCTAAGATCTCACGGATCTGAAACCATGTTTTATTTCATTTTAAGGTAATAATAAAGTAAATGACAACTGTTGGCTCATCATATCTTGCTATTTCGTTCCTGTTTCTCATGTTGTTCTTATTGTGGTCCAAGCTCCAGGCTCCAGTCCAGATATGGCATATGTGGACTCACCTCCCACCGCAGTACCACCAGAGGCATCCTATGAGGAAGACTGGGAAGTCTTTGACCCGTGAGTACAGGGCTGCAGTCATATAAAGCTTAGTCCTATAACCAGATCCCATTTAACAGAAGTTACAATAAAACCAGAGTGCCAATATTTGTAAAGCACGGATTTGTGGGATAGCTTGACCAAGACACTGTGCTGTGAGGTAGGGTGAGGCAAAAGTTGAAAGTTAGGTTACTTCCTGCAAATAGGGGCATTTTTGGTAGCAGGGTTATTTCGACCAGATCAAAACTAAAATCCTCCAAACTTAACACCCTGACATAAGACAATGCCAGCAGCAGAACAAAGTGTGACCTACCTGTTAATGTTTCCAGTTTGACAAAATAAACAGAGCATTTTTCAATGACAGCAGACTATTAATTGCTAACGATGAGTCGGGGTACATTTTTAAAAACGTTTCTCACATCAACAATGACCAGCACATTGTTAATTTATAACTGATAAACTCTACTGTAAAGCCCTGTGTCCGTATTCTTAGCATGTTCAGTACTTTGGTACAGAATCCAAGCTATTATTGTTTTTATTGAGTAAAAAAACATTTTGGTAATCTGGCTTGGGACACTCTTAAATAATAGCTGACAAAATAGTTGTAGTCCTCAGACTGGTCTCTTGTGCCTGTGTGAACTTCTTATGTACTGATTTTCAAATCCAGATGTCCTGATATCCTGAATTTTCAATTCAATTTTATTTATATAGCGCCAAATCACAACAACCGTTATCTCACAGCGCTTTTCATAAAAGAGCAGGTCTAGACCATACTCTGTGATGTTATTTGCAGAAGCCCAACAATTCCCACCAAGAGCAAGCACTAGGCGACAGAGGCAAGGAAAAACTTCCTTTTAAGAGGCAGAAACCTCGAGCAGAACCATGGCTCAGGGTGGGCGGCCATCTGCCTCGACCGGTTGGGGGTGAAGGAGAGAGAGAGGCAGGACAAGAGGGGAATAGAGAGAAAGAGAGAGAGGGATGGAAGGAGAGAGGGGAGGGAGGCAGCCTACACAATATACACACAGAGGTACAGACCGTAAAGGTGATGTTGCTGTAGACTGAATGAATAATGGTACAGATATTTAAAGTAGTGTTGATGATCAATGATTATAATAACAATAATAACAATAGGACTAGTAACAATAGTTGTTGTAGCAGAGGGTGTCGAGCAGGAACACGGGGGCAGCAGGTGACCCGCAACCACAGATCCAGACTCTACAGCTCCAGAGCCAGAAACACCTGCAGGAAGTGATAGGAGGAGAGAGGAGAGGGACGAGAAAGCACAAGACTACCGGAAAGGGGAGAAGTTGAGTTAGTAACATGCAATAATGGGATGAGGTTGTATACAGAGGGAGAGAAAGTAGAGGAGAGAGGAGCTCAGTGCATCATGGGAAGTCCCCCGGCAGTGTAGGCCTATAGCAGCATAACTAAGGGATGGTTCAGGACTCACCTGAGCCAGCCCTAACTATAAGCTTTATCAAAGAGGAAAGTCTTAAGCCTGCTCTTAAATGTGGAGATGGTGTCTGCCTCCTGAACCCAAACTGGAACCTGGTTCCACAGGAGAGGAGCTTGATAGCTGAACGCTCTGGCTCCCATTCTACTTTTGGAGACTCTAGGAACCACAAGTAACCCTGCATTCTGGGAGCGCAGTGCTCTGGTGGGGTAGTAAGGTACTATGAGCTCTTTATGATAAGATGGTGCCTGACCATTAAGAGCTTTGTAGGTAAGAAGAATGATTTTAAATTCTATTCTGGATTTTACTTGGAATTAATGCAGAGAAGCTAAGACAGGAGAAATGTGGTCTCTTTTCCTGGTTCCTGTCAGAACACGTGCTGCAGCATTCTGGATCAGCTGAAAAGTCTTAATAGACTTTTTCGAGCAGCCTGATAATAAAGAATTGCAGTAATCCAGCCTAGCAGTAACAAATGCATGGACTAGTTTTTCTGCATAATTTTTAGACAGGATATTTCTGATTTTCGCAATATTCCGTAGGTGAAAAAAGGCGGTCCTTGAAATTTGCTTAATGTGAGACTTAAACGACATGTCCTGATCAAAGATAACTCCAAGATTCCTCACGGTGGTGCTGGAGGCCAGGGCGATGCCATCAAGGGAAACTATATCTTTAGATAATGCGTCACGGAAGTGCTTGGGCCCCAGAACAATAACTTCAGTTTTATCTGAGTTTAACATTAGAAAATTACAGGTCATCCAGGTTTTAACATCCTGAAGGCACATTTGAAGTTTAGCTAACTGATGAGTTTCATCTGGCTTGATTGGTAGATATAACTGAGTATCATCTGCATAACAATGGTTTATGGAATATTTCCTGATAATATTGCCTAAAGGAAGCATATATAAAGTGAACAGGATTGGTCCGAGGACAGATCCTTGTGGAACTCCATGACTAACTTTGGCGTGCATGGAGGACTCATCGTTAACATGTACAAACTGAAATCGATCTGATAAATAGGACTTAAACCAGCTTAGAGCGGTTCCTTTAATGCCAATGAAATGTTCCAGTCTCTGTAATAGGATCTGATGGTCAATGGTATCAAATGCAGCACTAAGATCTAGTAAAACCAGTACAGAGACAAGTCCTTTGTCTGATGCAATGAGGAGGTCATTAGTAATTTTCACCAGTGCTGTCTCTGTGCTATGATGAGCTCTAAATCCTGACTGAAAATCCTCAAAAAACTATTGCTCTGTAGAAAGTCACACAGCTGTTTAGCAACTGCTTTCTCCAGGACCTTAGAGAGAAACGGAAGGTTAGATATAGGTCTATAGTTGGCTAAAACATCTGGATCAAGTTTGGGCTTTTTCAGAAGAGTTTAATTACAGCTACTTTAAAGTACTGTGAATAGAGTGAGTGTGAATACGACTGATCTGTATGCGACAGTTGGAGTTTATATTGATGTTTTTAATGGACTGTATGTGTGATGTTTTTGATTTAAAGGTATTTCTTCATCAAGCACGTCCCTCCACTGACAGAAGAGCAGCTCACCCGTAAGCCAGCCTTGCCACTGAAGACACGCAGCACGCCTGAATTCTCTCTGGTCCTAGACCTGGTTAGTTACAGTTTACACCAACACATTCTTTATCCGTAGGCCTGTGTTTTGATGATGTTTTGAAAGAGTCATAAGTTTTGAGAAGTATTTTCTGTGTTCTTTAGGATGAAACGTTGGTCCACTGCAGTCTAAATGAACTGGAGGATGCGGCACTTACCTTCCCAGTCCTCTTTCAAGATGTCATTTACCAGGTAAGTGTTCTCTCTCAGGAATGTTTCCCCATATTTATTAGCTCAGGTGTTCTTAACCTTTCTGGCAGTCCGACCTTTTTTGAGGTTGAAAATACTTCGCCTTGCGTTTTTGAAGGAGCGCTCTGAGCGAAGGCAGAAAAGTGTCATCCTAAAATAAGACTTGAACTGACCGTCATTAAGACGAAGCCCCTGGTAAGTACCTGGTACTGCCAGCAGAGTCTCCTCTTTCCGAGGGTCTCATGTGCCCACACGTATCTCCCTTTCCCTGTCTCCTGCGTGTTTACCTCTCACACTCAAACAGTGCCAGAGCAGGCGCCCTCAGTTTGGCAGATGTTGAACAACAAGACACAGAACTGTGAGTTGTGATCAAGTTTCTGCTAATATGACAGTTATTACTTAGGAGCAAACCAAAGATTACAGATCAGTGGCGCTATAATCTTTGATTAGACTGACAGGACAGCTGATTCGGTGGTTGCCTAGCAACATAAAAAAACATAGTGCTTTGCTCTTTTCCAAATTCAACCGAGAAAGACATTGCTGTGCGCCTCGCGTTTTCGAACCTGCAAAGCGCTTTCTGTCTGATCAGGCTTATTCTTCTTTGGCATTTTTATAGTGGTTGGCATTACCGCCACCTACTGGATTAAACGGTAAAATATTTACAGTGTCCACACAAAGTGATTCCATTCGCAACTATAGTCCATCTAGTTATTTTTAAGTTATTGTTTTTCTATTTTTGTGTCTATATAGTAGCATTCTCGCAACCCCCATGGGACCAGTTCATGAGCCCCTGGACCCCCAGATTAAGAACCACTGTATTAGATGATGCCACTAGAGGGGGATAAAATCCCATTTGTAAAAATCCTTCCTTTGAGTAAAGTGTGCTTGAAAAATAGACTAACATATCTCATAAGTGGAACTATCCTATTCAACAAACGACATACTAAAATGAAGACAATTTTGTTAAGTCATATGTTATAGCACTTGATGACCTGCAGTGAACATTGTTTGTGTTGATCATAAATATTTGCTTACCAATGTTTTGTTGTCATGCGCAGGTGTATGTGCGTCTAAGGCCGTTCTTTAGAGAGTTTTTGGAACGCATGTCTCAAATCTATGAGGTAAATGTGACCTGGTTACACCTGTTAATTAATCCTAATTGCATCTGATCTGAACAAAAACTGACCTTTTTATTTTCTCCTTTTCATTTTTTAGATCATCCTTTTTACAGCCTCTAAAAAGGTGTATGCAGACAAACTGCTCAACATCTTGGATCCTAAAAAGCAGCTAGTGAGGTACGCTGTGTTTTGTATTTGTCGGTTATAATAGCACAGCGAACCTCAAAAGCTGATGCAAGCCTGAATGAAAGCTGTGTTCAGCATCAGTGTTGCATGTGCTGCTGTCAGTGGTGTTGTTTTTTTCTGAATTATTGATTGCTTTGATCTTGTCACTGATTTTTATTTATTTTTTTTCCTCCCCTTCTTTCCTTTCATTCCCTACTGTAACTGTAGACACAGATTGTTTCGTGAGCATTGTGTCTGTGTCCAGGGAAACTACATCAAGGACCTCAACATCTTAGGCAGAGATCTGTCAAAGACCATCATCATCGACAATTCACCACAAGCCTTCGCATATCAGGTGAACACCTAAACAGAGCAAAACACTGGAGGTTTTCTGTTATCTGGTTATCAACAGGCATAGTCAGCCAAAGGGAAACAAACTTTAGGAAATTAAAAACGGAATAAAATTACTTTTAATGTTCCTATTCAGGGTTTTTGCCCTAGAAATGTAGATTTTATCCACAGGATGAGGTAGACCTCTTTTTTTTGTTTTTTTAAAACCAACTCTTGTCTGATCTTTCATTGATGCAAACAACATGGAGTTTCTACACAAATACAGCTGGTCTCAACAAACCTTAAACTGACTTCAACTCAAGTGTTGATTATCAAACTAACTTCAGCAAATTTTTCGCTCCACTTCTCACTCTTCGTAATACGTAAAATTTTTTCCCGACAGTGCCATCTGCTGCTCTGAATAATTACCACAAAGCAAACATAGGATGTGGCCGATGAATCAGTGTAACTTGCTGCGCCGAATCACACAGATACTGACACACATTTCAACGTGTGATCAATTCTTTAAACATATCGCCTCACTCATTAATATCTAATGAGTGAGGCGATCAGCAATTGTTGTGTGATAAAGCTCGTTGGTTTGTAGAAAAAAAGTATATTGATTTCTTTCAACATCAGTGGAGGCGATCATTTGGAGTAGAGTCACAAGACTCATGTGATCGTGATTTATGTTTTTTGTCCCCACAGTTGTCCAATGGAATTCCCATAGAGAGCTGGTTCATGGACAAGAATGACAATGAGTTGCTGAAACTGGTGCCCTTCCTGGAGAAGTTGGTTGAGATGGTAAGATGTCCTGTCGCTCAATAGCTATTATAGAAGCTACAACAAACTGTATTATTAAACTATTTCGGTAAATGTAAACTAATATGTTCCTCTAATCTCCTGTCATGGTTCTTCTGCTCGTCAGAATGAGGATGTGCGGCCGCACGTTCGGGAGAGGTTCCGGCTTCACGACATGTTGCCCCCTGATTGAACTTGACCACAGTCTGTCAGAACGGGACAGCATGAAAAGACTGAAAACAACATGCGTGTAAAAAGCTCCTCTTTGGATTACAAACTACAACATTGCCATTACTCTTAAAATTTTAGCCTTTTTTCCCCCCTTATTTTTTGGGTTCATTTTTTGTTTTTAAATTCAGTTGCTTTTTAAAAAACAAAAAAACAACAAGGAAAACATTTTTAAAGATCTGGGTGAAATTTTCTAAATGTATAGATGAAATTACACACACTATGAACAAGCCCAGGTAAACTCCTCTTTTTGACTGACTCTCCAGCTGTGGAGCCGGAAATCTCCTCCACGCTAAATTCTGAAGTCTTGGTGCTGGGTTAGTGGAAACGAAAATGCCACCTGGTAAAGAGGAACTCCGCCCTGACTGAGTCCCTGAAACCAAACCAACCCCTGGTGCTCACGCTGTTGACACTGATGAATAACAACACTCTGTGGCTACAGATCATTTTCAACAGGAACGACTGGCCTGTAAATCAGTCTGTGCATGTGTGTATGTTTACTCACACGCGCGCACACACACACACACACGCACACACGCGCGCACACACACACACACACACACTGATTTGGTGTGTTAGGCAAACCTAAACTCTGTAGCCTTTAAAATCATATGCATTCCTTGTAGCTGAGTCAAGTTTCTATTGTTGGTTGCAGTTTTTTTCTGGTAAAACTGGTGTTTCATTGTTTAAAAAAAAAAGAAAAAAAGATAGCATTTCAAAATGTTTTACTTCTGTTTGTAAAATATGATATTTTAAAAGGGGTTATGTAAGTTTTATTGTAAGCCTTTTTCCTATTAATGTAGGAGAACATGGGTGCTTATTAATGAAGACAGTCCACTGCATAGTCAAATGAAATGGAATTACTCCAAGACTTCAAGTATCGTAGTTTTCATTCTAACAAATAGAGGTTTAAAAAGCAATGTGTTGGCTTCACTGTGGACACATGACTCCTTTAATTAAATGTTAGAATTAAGAATCTTCTTACCTGTAAATCTGACACATTGTAAAGGTTTGAGGGCATTCATTTTCAAATGTGTCAACGTTAACCATTCTTTAATAATAGTATCTGATTTGTCTATAATCAGTATTGTCTTTTGCTCCTAATCAAGTATTCTGGCTAAATCAGAGTTTTGTTTCCTTTAGTTGTAATGTGTAATTTGATGGCTATATCAGTAGCATTATGACTAATGTAGCACATCTCTGCCAGTGTGTCATGAAGTCTACCCATGGTAGAAATCTATGGCCAGACCCTGTACCAGCCATATCTGGCACCAGCAACATACTGTTGTAACAGTCAGCTTCACTGACTGCTCCTCTACCTGTTTAATACTTTTTACTTTGTACTTTTAAGCTTTTGTTTATTTTTTTCATTTTACGTTTAGCGCAGTTTAAAGCATTGTGTTTAAGAATGGTAACTATATGAATGTGTATCTGCCCCGATTTCAGCCTGGACACTCAAGCCAAACTGACACTCATCTCCTCTGTTGTTTCAACTTGATAGCGAGACAAACGGTGGTGGGCACAAATGTAGATGTTGTGTTGGCATCCTTTACTAGCCTAAACCTGGGAGGTAAAGACAGGAAGCTCAAATGCCTGTCTTCTGTCATCGCCCCAAACCCTCAAGAGTTTAACTTGAATCTCTGTGACAATTTGGCATGCAATGTTGAACTTTTTTTCACTTTCCGTTCTGTTTGAATCAAAGTGCATTTTATGTTAAAGCAAATGTGAGCGTTTGGATTTGTCTGGGTTGCCTGTACAGTGCCATAAATAAGATTCCTCACATCGCATATCCCCCCCTCCCACCCCCAAAATGCTTAGATGGAAAGAGACAATCAGACCTCAAAGCTCTGCAGATACTGACACCCACCCCTTCCCTTATTTTTTTCTTTTTTTCAGTGTGCCGTATATGTTGTGTACTGTGATCCCCTTCCCCTACGAGTAAATGCCAGGTGAATATCCTGCTGTGCCCTGCCCAAACAATCCCTGCTGCTCACTTAACGCAGGTTCTGTTCAGAGATGGTTTCCATATGTTCAGCGCCTGCCTGACTTTGCCCCCCGCCGCCCCGAAGTTTTCCAGAAATTTGTTTGTATTCAAGTAAAGTTATTACAGGGCACAATATTTACTCAGACGTTATGTTGTGGGTACACATGTCCAGACTATGAATGTAAATTGTACACGGGGTGAAGTCTTGACTGTCTTTCCAGATTCCTTGTTGTGTTCCCTCCTCATCAACACGAACAGATAGATGAGAAGCAGAGGAGGCAAGAACAATGTGCATGGAAGAGGAAACCTGTCTTGAGGTCCCACTATGGTAGCCCCTCCCTTACCCCTATGACCTCTCACCATCCTGACTGCCAGCTTTACTATGCTAGCCTCACCTTGAGTGTGTGATGTGGCCCAGGTGTGCTCGTCTGCTCAGTGGGCTGTGTGATGATGTATAATTATCAGCCATGGCTTGTTCCTGAAGGATGGGTGGGAGGCATTTGATACTCTTCATCCAGCTCATTTTATGTGCATTACCAGTTTATTGTACACTTCAGTGTTGTACAATACATGCAGCTTCATGTTTTAAAAAAAATCCTTAAAGTAAGGAAAATCTTTTGTATTTTTGATTTCAAAAGGCATGTCATATCTACTTTTTAAATGTATTAATGAAGATTTAACTTTACTTCAGATGGAGTGTTTTTTTTTTTCTTACAAATATCTATGTTTAGTTTAGCGCAATGTTACTGAACTGTTAAAACTTAGCATGTAGAGAATACAGCTTGCTTTGTGGGGAAAGTCCTGAATTAAATTTTAATCATGGCACTTTTTCTGCAGAAATGAGCAGTCGTGTTAATGATTTTCTTTTTTCAATATCCGTTAAGCCATTTTACTTGCAAGAATTGCTATTTGTGCTGAAGATGTATTTAAAAATGTTTTAAGACATCTTTGTTAGCCATCAGGCTATATGCTATTGTAAAGTGTATATACAGTTACATTGAATTTCTGAAACAAAGTTTTAAAGTTAAAAACCTCTTGCATGCCCTTTGTTTTTATTTCTCTAAACTGTCTGAGATTATGTGGGACAATTCATAGGAAAAAAGGAATTTATGAGTGAAAAGATAGCTGTATCGCTGAATATATTTCCCTGTCTTTAGGTACAGTAATAGGAACAGACTAAACTAAGTAATTTCACCTGGGTTTGTGCTGTATAATTTTAGAGTGAATTGCAGAATAACAGTAGCCTTTTCATGTTGATCCCTTCCCAGATGCTTGTGGAAGAATGGTTTACTATTAAAATGTTACATTAATAATGATTAATTGAACTTTTTAAAACAAGATTTTAAATACACAGCTAATGGATTGTATTTTAATGGGTTCTCTGTGGTTTAAAGATTTTTTTTAAGGAAGAACAGTTTGCTAGATAACATACCCAACCCTGAATTTATAAATTAGAAGGACGTAAATGTTATTTGTAAAAACTCCATTTAAAACCCTTAAACAATGTTGGGAAAACAATTAAACATTTGTTTATTTGTGGAAAACAATTAAAATTACATTCCTATATTATAATCAATAACTTAAATTTGCCAAGTTTAAGGGGAAACTGATTTAATGTTTGCTGTTTTAAGGGGTTATTGCTTAAAGAGTTGCTCTTTGCCAATCTAAATGAACCACCTTACAGCAGCATCAGGCTGGATGTGGGAGTTGTAAGTTGTGTACCAGAGTACTTGCAGCAGATGTCATGTAAATCCGCCAGTAGTCAGTCTGGTGTCTTCTGACTCCTCTGACAGGACTCGGGTTTCAGAAGCAGGAGTTAATCAGCACACTGCGTTAATAATTCAGCACAAACCGCGGGGCTTGTTGCAGAAATCCCTTTTGCGTTTCACAGCCCTCATTTCGCACCTACTTTTTTTTCCTTTACCGGTGTCCTTAATTACGCTCCTTTCAGACCAGGTGTAGAGTTGCAGGTAGACAGAGATGAGGAGCCTGCAGCCTCTGAGCAGAGTGGCATGTAAGAGGGAGCATCACCTCGGCCTGCTGTTTGAAGGATGAGCGACAGCTTGCTAAAGGCGTTTTGATACTCTGTTCAGTTAGCAAATATGAAGCCTGTTCTCAGTCCGGGTCTTCTACCTCAGCTTCAGAATATCTCGACTAAATCAACAGGATAAAACATTTGGATTTAAAAAATCATTATCTGGAATACTTGCATTTGATTGTGGACACAATGTGGTCGACACCGGCTGCTTGCATGGTATGCATCCTATTTGGTAAGTACGTTTTCACAAGATTTCAGAAAGCTTCTAAATTTAAAACCACCAAGCATCCATTGTCTAAAAAACCCCAATGTAGTTTCCATTGAGGTGGCATTATCATGCAATTAATATCTGATAAGTAAAGCTAAACCGTAAATAAAGCATAGTTAACTTGATTATGAGAAAGAAGTGCTTGTTGTAAGACTTATAAAGGCTTACACTTAATAGTCTATAGCCAATATACAGCGAAGTTAAAAAAATTGTCAGATTCTATACAATACAGATAAAATATTTTGTTTTCTTACTAACTGTATTAAATAAGTAAAATTAATTTCAATTTGTCATATCTGCAAAAGATGTTTCAAACCTCAATAGGAATTATCTGCTTAAACAAAGGTGATAAATGTCACATAGTATGTGTTGTGTGTATGTAGTGTGACTTTTCACAGTAGCAATGAGTAGATCCACACAATTACTAGTTACTGTGGGCCAACAAAAAATCTTTTTTTTCTTAATATCTACAGGGATCATATGTGATGTCAAGCAAGGGTATTCTCACGCCAAATTAATACAAAGAAAGACTGATCAAACACCTGAGGAGGCCAACAAGTTAGAGGAAAACATCCAGAAAGTTATTAATCAAATCCACTCTTTGTCCGGTGACAATAAAAATACACGCAGTGTCTCACCCACAGTAGAGGGTTTTGACTTAAATGCATATTACAGTGCTCTGACTAACTTGTACGCTGTCTCCAAACCACTGCTGAGAGACAGATTCATAGATGACCTTCCCAAAACTTTAGTCTGTATTCTCTCTGGGAGACAGGACTGTGGACTGGAGGCAGAACTAACAAAGGCCGTGTCTCTGGAGTTGGGAAAGCCACTACTGATGTTTGTGTCGTCTCTGAGGTCCCAGACATGCGCTCCACTGAATAGTGATGGCGAGTCAAACGGCTTCCTGAGGGCGTACCTCAGAATGGCGGAATCAACGACAGCAGTGTTAAATGCTTTTCAGCAGACATTTATAAATATACTGTCGAGTCTCCCTCTTTCTGAGAATTTGATAAGTGCTGTGAGCGACCTTGTGGATGCAGCTATGACATATGTCTCCAAGTTCATGGCAACGTTACTCCAAGTACCAATGGACTACATCAAAATAGCTTTACAGTTTGGAATTAGAATACCCTCATTGAATGGAAAAGAGACCTGTGAGGAAGGTAATACATTATTTTTATATAATATATAAAAGTATAAACATTTTAGTAGTGCCATGTCATTTTCTAAACTGCACTGTATAATATACAATATAGAAATGATTTATGCTAATTATGATGTTTTCCCACTTGGTTTGCAGGAGATCTCAAGCAGCTCATTATGTGGTAAGTCATTAGTGAAACTCGCATTAACTCCTTTTCTACGTTAAAGCGACCCTGTGCAGCTTTTGACCACCAGTGGTGCTATTCAGCAATGTTTTTAAGAGGGGTTCCAGGTTGGAAGTATTGTGCATAGGGTGCATACACATTCCTGCTGCTGCTTACCATAGACAATAGGTGCGTTTGACTTTGTGCAGCGCTGACGTAACGTGAGGCATGCTGGACTTAACATAAGGCATGCTGGTGTCTGACTTTGACAGACTCTGACAGGTGCCAGTTGCTTTTCTCTGGCTGCACAAAGTTGAACCCACCTTTTTCCTGAGAGTCGTTGTACTAAGCTCACAGTAAGCTAATGTAGGAAAAATGTGTCCGGTTTGATGGCAGTTTTTTTAACCCACCCCTGCAGTCGCCTGCAGCTCACATTGGACCAGTGGTCGGCAATAGGCGGCCCGCGGGCCGCCAGCAATAATATCTGGCCCGCAGCCAGATTGCTTTGATAGCAGAAAATAAAAAAGAAATAAATTGATAGCGGCTGGTGCTGAAATAGATCTCACTCATGACAGCTACAGTTACTCACACAATCAATTCCTTTTATGTGATTGTGCCTCCAAAATAAAAGCACGAGAAATGTTTGTGCAGCAATGCTATATGACAAGTTTATTGAGAGCTTTTACTTTGAAGAGTTCTGAACGACAATCAAAAGATACTCTGGATTGCTTGACACAACGCTGGGAAGCACACAAACTGCACCACATGCTTTATTGTGAGCATGTGCAAAAGTGTCCTCATTATAATCAATTTGTTTAACAAGGGAGAAAAAATTACCTGCAATAAGTTAGAACCAATCTTACGACCTTCCAATTAGGAGTCCCGTACAGTACCAACTAGCCAAACTTGCACACAAGCAAACAAGGATTTGAAATAATTTGACTTTGTTCTGGCCCGCCATGTAACGGCTTGAAAAAATTTGCTCCGATGCCAGACCGCTGCGTTAGACTATCAGTCAGCGAAAGACATCTCGAGTGCACCTAACGTTACATGACTCACAGTTGGAGAGCTACTGTTTGGATCAGCATGAAACAATTGGTTGAATAATCAGTACAATTAACAAACATGTTAGAAAATATCTGGTTCTTTGATTAAAAAGTCAAAAGCACAAGCCTGTGTTTTGTTTACCCCTGAAAGGAACATTTTGAATTCACTAGTGCACTAATTCCTCTTTCTTCAAAGCAACAGTGGCTATAGTATTTAGAGCCATTCACCGAATTGATGACAAAACATCAGTTCAGAAACGAATTTGAAATAATTAAAACAGGTGGCCACAACGTGAACTTATAATACATCTTCAGCTTGAGTCCCGTATTTCTATGTTGAGTAAGATTAATGATTAAATAATTTCTCGTTTGAAGAAAAAATACAGCTCCACTGATCAACAGTTGGTGGCAGTGACATCAAAGAATCATAGCAACCTGCCAAGTGAAGAAGAAAACTACAAGTTAGCAAACACATACGTGAGTGTTTTGAGTACTCAAAATAAAAAAGACAGCTTTCTCTTAATGTTTTATGAGAAAGGAAATAAATTCAATATGTTTGTTAGACCTCAATGTCGCACACAATGTGTTTTAGTGAGAAACACAGAATGTAAACCTAACTTTTGTGTGTTTACAATAAAACCACACAGGACACCTTTAATTAACATCTCCCTCCATGTCTCAGAGAAGCAAAATGCAGCCGGAGTAGTTCTCAAAAAATCTGGATGCATTTTAGTACATATTGAGGTGTTCTTGAAAGAAGATGTAATATTATGATTAATGATTAAATGCCTGATTTGTTTAGGGGAATAAACCACAATGTGAGCTGGTCCTTCGGTACCTCCATCATTGACATCCTCCTGGATATCTTCCTGGCTCCAGAACAGCCTCTGTGCACATATCCAGGGCCAAACTGCCAGAATCCTCCCAGCATCCCCTTCCAACGCAGCGTCTCAGAGGCAAAAGACTACACTGATGACAACCCCGACATCCCGCTAAAGTGTGACCGTCACAATCTGGCTAGGCTCAATGACACGCTGTGTGCTGACGTCCTCACGGCTTCAAGAGTGGCATCCTCTACATCTGTGCTCACCTTTTGCCAGGCGCTAAGCTCCCTCAGTCCTAACCAGATAGAGCAGGTGTGGAGCAACATGTGTTACGCCATTCAAGTACTGGTGTCTCCACTCCTCAGCAGATCATCTGACTGCAGTTTTGGGGACATACAGCCTTCCCCTGCTGTCACCCCTCACTCTGCACCTGCTCGAGTAGCCAGAGAAGCCTCCAACCTCAAACAGCTCGCCTGTAACTACAGCAGCTGGATAGATAACAAGGTGGTAGATGCTGTCCTCGTGTCACTGTGCAGTGATAATGAACGTCAGGAGTTTGTGAAGCAGGTGTGTAACAATACTTTGTTGATGAGGAAGCTGCTCTCAGATCCAATGAACAGCTGGCTGTATGGATACTGTGCCAACTCCTCTGCAAACACTGGGTACATGGTGAGTCAATTCTGCGTCTATGAGAAGTGGATCGACCAGTTCTCAGTCCCGGTGGACCCCTCCTTGCTGGAGTTCTGTATGAGCCTGGACAGTCCCAGACTGACCACACTCATCTGTGAGAACACCGGATTCTTCATGCTTTTATTCTCCAACCCTGAAAATGGGCGGTTCATGCCTAACTGCACAAACTTGCCCCCTTCACCACCATTCCCTGACATGGATTCTTTAATGTTAGATTCTTGCCGTTACTCAGAGTGGCATGATGCGATGCAGATTACCATCGACATTTTGTCACAGTGCATCCGCTTCGATTACAGCGGTTTTACTAAAGAGGTTTGCACCAACAAAACCTTTCTAAATAGCCTGCTGCTTAATAAAGCAAATGCCTGGCTTGAGAATCACTGCAGCGCTTCTCTTAGCCTCCTACCCCCTGAGCCGACCCAGCCTTCCAACATAGCAGGCTGGTGTGACTACTACACTTGGGGAGAACGGTATGTGGACGATTCAGTGGTCGGCCTCTGTTGGGAGCATGATCAGCTTGCTTTTCAGAAGAATGTCTGCTGCAAAGCGTCGGTGTTTGAGAAGCTTTTACAAAACCCTCAGAACAAATGGCTAACATCAGCCTGCACAGACCTTGAGGAAATAGCGGTGTTACCACAGGTGGGTATTTTACCTGGATGACATTAATCTCTACATCCAATTAATAAAAATGTGTATTCTTATGTTGTATTCACAATCATCTGTAGGTGTGCAAGTACTCTGAGTGGACTCGTCCCATCATCGTGGACATGACTGAGCTAGCTCTCTGCTCTGAGATCGACCCACTTAACTTCACCTCCAAAGTCTGTGCCAATGATACAGTCCTCCAGAACCTGTTGGCCAATCAGGACAACACCTGGTTAATAACACACTGTTCCACCCATTCAAAGCCAGGACTATCTCCTGGTGGAGATGGGGGAAATGGAAAAGGCCTGACTGGATTCAACCCCGCAGAGCTGTGCCAGTACGCCAGCTGGAGCATATCTCTTCCAGATGCAGCAGTCCTGACTTTCTGCTGGGAGCACGACCAGACCAATTTTGTCTCCTCAATCTGCCCTAACGCTGGTCTTCTCTTTTTGCTGTCCCGGGAGCTGTCTAGTGTGTGGGTGGGCCGCATGTGTAATACCTACACCAACTACTCCACTGCCGCCCACAACAACAGCACTGCTGCAGAGCCTAATTTCTGCCTGGCCCGAAACCTGGTGAGGCGGCTCAACTGGACCTGCTCAGCTGACCTCAACACAGCCTGCCAGCCCGGGGCCAGCCAGAATATGGCCATGCAGATGTTGATTCGCTGCTGGGTGGAGAGTCTAAGGTCCAGAATGGAGGATCTGCTGACTCCGCCTGTGGCCACAGTGTTGGATCAGGCAGTCAGCAACATTGTGGTGATCCTATTGGCCCTGGAAGAAGTCCAGAACACCTCGCTGCATGTCACTGAGAACATACGACTGAGTGTGTTAACATCTGTAGTTCACTATCTCGAGAGGGAAAACAACTTTGACAAAAAGAGAGTCTTACTGCAGTGCTTTGGGGTAGGTAGTTTGATTATGCAGTAATTGTATGAAAAGAAGTATTCACATCCTTTAATCTCACTAAAAGTTAAAGCGCTGCATTGAAAATGTCACTGAAGTATTATTAGCAAAAACAAGGGGCAGCTAATTTAAAATACTTAATAATACTGTTAGGTAGTTTAACAGTGCATTATAGTGTGTTTGTTTTGTATATTAATTTTTGAAGTAAACATTAACTATGTGTAGCCAACAAATAAATATAGTGGAGAAAAAGTACATAATTTTCCTCTTTAAGAATTATAATGTAGCATGAAATGGAAATATTCAAGTAAAGTACAAGTACTTCAAACTTTTACTTGAGTACTGCAGTTGAGTAAATGTACCTTGATACATTCCACCACTGCTTGTTACATTTTAATTATTATGCTGTATGAATTAACAGGAATCTCTTGGTCCAAAAGGACTAAGACAGTATAATTTAGCACTTTCTTGGAACTGTATTCTGTAGGTTAATCAGGGCATAGTCTTTTCTTCATATAGGCTCACTCAGTTTCTGTGTACAACAGATCATTGACTATACAGTTTATCTAATTATTCCTCTGCATCAGTTATTATTAGCCTCACTGTATAGCTGCTGACCTCCAGTGTACAGCCAGCTGAAAGCTGGTGTACGGTTACACTCCTGTTATCACCTGAGTGAAATCTCTGCTGGCTCACAATTACAATAATGCATCAAAGCAGACTCCCAGATTATGTGTTTCCAATAATCCCTATGTTAGTAGTGTCACAACCCTGTGTATATGTGTGTGTTTCCCTTCTGTAGAGAGTCTTAACCAGCTTGATGCAGACAGCAAGAGATGGGACCAGTGATGAATTCTTCGTCATTAAGGTGATTTATGCCACACCTTAAATATTAATGTAAGCTTTGTTCCAGACTGAAATATCTCAGCAACTGTTGGATGTATTTTCATGAAATTTTGTACAGACATTCATGATCCGCAGAGGATGAATCCTAATGACAATGCTGATCCTTTGGCTATTCCTCCAGTGCCAGCTGTAGACCAAAGTTGTCACTTATCCTGTGAAATATTTCACCATCTACAAGATGTATCGGTTCAACATTTGGAAAGACATTCATGGTCCCCTGAAAATGTTTCCCACTAATTTTGGTGATCCCCCGAAATTTTTCTCTGGCCCCACCATGAGGTTGACATTTGAGGTTTTGAGTGTCATTTCTCAGCAGCTTTTGGATGGATTGCCATGAAATTTAGTACACTCGTTCATGCCCCCTCTTGCATCATTTATGTCTTTATTGTCTGTTTTTCCTGTTTAGTTGGACTCATTTCCTCATGTGTTTATGTGTCCAGGAGTATTTCACTATACCACTGAGCAACCTGGATTCAGTGCTCAGTGCAGCTCACATTACCACCGTCAGGATGATACTTCAGTACTTTAGCAGAAACAAGGATAAGCTGCAGGTGAAAAGGAAACGATTACACATCCATGTGAAATCTGCAACATTTAGACATCAAACAACATTAAACATTTTATTTTTTTCCTGTTTCTTCCTGGTATTCTTAGCTCCCTGTTTCACCCCTATAACGTCTGTTTAGTCTTAGTTGATTACACAGTACATGGTATCACATTCTTGCTGACACAGAATTGGTGTTTGCTTCTGTTTGCCAGTTGCCCTATAAGTACCTGTCCTCCATGGTGTCAGTGCTGTTCCAGACCCACCTGGTAAAAGATGGTAGTCTCTTCCCTGAGCTGGCTCCCCTGCTGGCTGCAGCCAGCCCAGCTGACATCCAAGCTTTGCCCTCACTGCAGAACAACATCAATGTGTAAGTGATGGTGTCAGCTAGTCATTTCAAATAATAATTCATATTTAGCATGATGTTATTAGCAGAGGAACATGTTTTTCTGGACATTTGTTGTTTTTCTGTTGCTGGAGTTTTAGTCTCCAAGATTGGCTCCCCTCTCCATGCATGTTGCCAGTAGGTGAAGTTGTGCTAGAATCCCCAACAAATCACTTGTCAAATAGAGTACTTTATTAAACCAAGCAAGAAATCTTGTAATTAAGAAAACGTGTTTAGATGTGCTATCGAACCTCAGGCAGGTCAGTCACTAGTGTAAACCTCTAGACTAAACCTGTTCCTTAGTTCCCGGTAACATGTCTCTGCATTTTTAAATAGACACTTCTGGTAGGATGAATGCACAATGTCACCTTTCTAAGGTCACATCCACAATCTTATAAATAAGGCAACTTGGGATGAAATTGAATGGAAATGTTCACATTCTGAAGGTTCAGCCAGATGCCTGTGAAAGGCTTAGACTCTCTCAGCAGCAGAAGAGATCCTACTTACTATTATTTATGTGTCAAACAAAGAGTTTTTCTCTGTTAAAAATGCTAAGAGTGTGTAGTGAACAATTTGATTTGTTTCAATTGTGCACAATCATGCAATCTCACTTTTCTACATCCATTGTGCTTATATCCAAACACAGCACTGGTGTCAGGCTTCTGCGAGAAGTGATGTGTCATTGTGCACAGAGGTGCCAGGAACATGCATTATACATAGAAAGTAAAGGAAACTACTTCACTGACTAGATTTCAATCTTGAAAGGGCTTATAATGTGTCTGTAGGTCTCTGCTGTTGATTCAACAAGAATGTGTCATGTAATGTAGAACTTAACAGCATGAAAGTGTATTTCAGATTGACTCAGGTATGACTTGGGTATGTAACTACAGCTGTCTGGAAAGCAGTGCAGATACACCCCCATCGTAGTTCTGTGGCAGTCATTAATATATGCTTATTACAGAGTACAATTCAAGTCAAACTTAATATTATCTTATGGAAAACAAACAGAACAAAACACACATCAAAGTATCACAGTCATAATAGACAGACATAAACATCACTACAACCTGTACCCAGGTGAGCAAGTGAGATTACAATGACATCTAAGATTGGAAATCGTTCAAGTGTGCAAATCAATGTTCTTGAAATGCTACGTAAACACTGAACTTTTGGTTTCTTTTTACAGTAGACATTAATGAGTCTATTGTTAAATGATACCACTAATGAAATCTATATGGTGAATATGTAGCTGGAGCCAGCATGCAATTAGCTTAGCTTAGCATTAAGACTGGAAATAGCGGAAAACAGTTAGCCAGGCTCTACTTATACTTAAGCTTTCATATAGATTAAACAAAATAGATATAACATGTTTATTGGACTTTGGAGATGCTGTTAGGCAGACTTTGTAACCTTTGGACAGAGTCATGCTTACTGTTTCCCCTGCAGTCTTTATGCTAAGCAAAGCTTATTGCTTTCTGGCTGTAGATTCCCACTTAACGAAGAGACTCTTCTCACTGAACTCTCAGCAAGAAAGCAAATAATAAGCATATTTCCCTAAATGTTAAACAATTCCTTATTTAAATGGTACGTTTTCCACCACCTTCCACTATGTTTAAATTGCTTAAATGCAATATTTAAAAACAAGCCACGTAAAATATTCAGTAAAACTGTTACAAAGCAGCAGTTGCCGTATATCACACACGATTAAACAAAACTTCATTTATAAAACAAAATTTCTTCAAGGAGGGAGACCATTAACAGCCACTTGGGGTTCATGACTCTGGACCAGCGGCTGGCATTTGGCTTGTGGTACAGCAAAGTTATGCCACCCTCCAACATCACCAGAGGTCAACAATCACTCATCAGGGACACTGGAAACCTGATCGCCTACCTGCCCTTCCACAACTTTCAGCACCTCTCTCCTACTCAGGTAACAACCTTCTGAGCTCTGACACCTGACTGTGAAACCAGAGAAGCCAGGACTCAGTTCGCTTAGCCCCAGGGCATAGCAGAGCTCGTCATGACATACTGATCAAAAGAAAGCACAGACCACCTCTTCTTCTTTTTCTGTCACCACCAATGTGTGTCATATACTTATAGATAATGTTCAAGTAAAGGCAGGAAGACATGAATTAAGAATGATCTAAAGGTAAAGGGGTTACTGACCTTTCAGGAATCAACTGAATTTAAAAGGTTTTAAAGGAATAGTTTTCTTCGCTTTCTTAGCCATAGTAGATGAGAAAACATATACCACTCTCATGTCTGTCTGGAAAATATGATAATGGTAATGAAGCTATGTTAGTGCCAAACCCCAGTTTTTACACTTTTGTTTTTTTACCGTTAAGAAATACAATATATAACACCTTAACTATTGAACTTTAGAGGTGCTCATAGACAGATTTTGCTACCTTACAAGCCAGACTAGCTGTTTCCCCCTGTTTCCAATCTTTGCACTAAGCTAAGCAAACCAAACCAAACCAGCTAGCTTAATATTTTACATTCAGATATGAGAGTGTATAACAATGTAATTATTTAGTTTTCTGCTGTGTTGTTGCCACATTCAATTAATAAACACTTTGTTGAACGTTTTGAAAATGTTTTAATGTCGAATATTCAGACAAAAAAGCTACTACTTAATTTCTGTCTATATGTTTATCCACAGCTGTTGAATGGGTTGGATGTGTTGCAGAGAAACACCCTCACTTCTCTAAAGCAGGAATTCATCGCTTACAGCCTAGTCGGCACCTACAGGAACCTGACAGCTCAGGATTTTATCAGGTTGGGAATGACTGAATCTGTCCACGTAAACTGTTTTACATTACACATTATTAACTACATTATTAACTATCACTTCATTAGGCTGTTTAACCTCAGATAAAACCTGGAAAAACACATGTAGTTTGATGGTTTGATAGATTTTGCAGGATTTTTTCAGGTACATTTTTATCATTGTTAGTATATAAGATCGTTTGTATGTTGCTTCCATATCCTTCATTTGAATAAAGTGACACCTACTTTTTAACCTTGTACCACTTACGATCTGCCTGCTGGACTGTAGCACAGGGTTGAAACCTCAGGGACTGCTATTAAGTTACATGAAAATTAACATATAATACATACTATTTATATTGATAAATTAATGATTTTACAAAACAAACTGCATACAACTGAAACCTTAAAAAGATGGGCAGTAGTGTTAAAGGGTCAGTGGTAAAATAGATTTTCTTAAAGGGTAAATTACCTTAAGGGAAATTAAGTAGCTAATGATTTTGTTTCAGTAGGGAAATAATTCCAAACAAAAAACATAATATATAAAAAAAAGTCAGACAGTAAATTTTCTTTAAATTGAAACAAATAGATATTTAGTCCAGGAGTCTTTTGCTTGTGTGGACTTAACAATAAGACATATTACAGATAAATCATGGTCATTTATGCTATGGGGAATACAGTTATTGAATCTTAATGCCGGACCTCTACAGACGTGACCCCATAAATGCTAGGCAGACTGAATGATGAACTTTATTTAGTGATTTCTTTTGCAAAATATATTTTTAACTTTTTGAAATGAAACCTCTCATCTGCTTCCTGGTGGGTGTTATTAAAATAGTGTTTGTCATTTTAGGCTTGGTAAAATCTCATGCCTGGCAGACCCAGAGGACCTTTTTTTGTACAAAGGCACGGAGGCCTTCAGTGTCATCCGGGACATTATTATAAACTGCACACGGGAGGGAGTCAGTCTGCCCAGCTATCTGGTAAGAAAACAGAAAAGTTAATATGTGGTTTCTTTATTGTTTTTCATATGTGTTTTTTTTGTTTAACAGTTTGATTGGTGGAGTGTTTATAATAGATGTGCTTTCTCTCTGTCTCTTGTTCTGAACTGTATGTCCAGATTTCCAGTTTGTTACTGAACAGTACAGAATTCAAGGTCCCTTCCTCGCTCAGTTCTGATCGACTGGCAGACCTCTCCCACTTCCTGCCCTTGCTGGGTGTGCCTTTCCTGCAGGGTCTCACACCGTCGCAGCTCCTCGCTGCCTTCCCTGCTCTCAACTCAGTTTCATTCAGCCCTGCACAGGTAGAGGAGCGTACTCAACCTGTAATGTACAGTGAAGATATAGGGTGCATCCTCTATAACTCGATTTCTGTTGCCATTTAACTTCTTTTGTGCAAAATAAATGTCAGGTTTCAGTGAGTGGTGGTCAGGTTAGTCCCTTTCACTGCACCAGCCCCTATTTGTAATACATGATTGAGTTTCCTGGCAGCTGGTGGGGCTTGTAGGCTTAAGGAACAGATGACAGGCGGTCAATCTTCAGCACCCTGACCCCTGAGGTGAGATGGTTCCTGAGGCAAAGAACTGAGCTTTACTTCAGCCTTCAGCCATCAACTGAACTGAAGCCTTTGACTTTTACATCAGCCTCGCAGCTGTTGTCTCGCTTTGATATGTCACAAGGAGTCTTGAGGGGACTGATCTCTTCAAACCTACAGATAGTTTGGTAGGTCCATCATGACAAAGATGTTGTGTGAACAAGCTCTGTTCAAGCCCATCAGAACTTTATTTTATATTCTAGTAAATGGTGAAGTAATTGTGAAGACAGCATCTTGGATTTGAATGTTTCACCCAGTATAAATATTATACAGCGCTGTAGGAAGTAGGTACACAATATGTGACACACCAGTCAATTAAAAGTTAAAAAAATACCACTTTATAATCCATTTGCTGTCATTCTGTATGTTTTTCAGGCTTCCATAATTGTAGGAAAGCTGTCTTCAAGTAACACCGTGAGTTATTTTGTAAACACATAACACACATGTGAATTTAGTAGAGAGATGTTCTCTGGATTTTTGCGTCCCGACCCTCACACCTTCCTCCCCTCTGCCTAGTTGACTGCTCCAGGCCAGCTGCAGGAGCTCGGCTCCCTCATTGTGGGAGTGAAGACGGAGAACTTGTTGACCCTCACCTCTGACATACTGCTGTCATCCCTGCCTGCCATGGCCCAACACACACCAGGCCTCAGCCCACTACAAGCCAATGCTGTCTCCACTAAACTATGGGTAGAACACACACACATGCTAACAGCAGGGAGACGATATGCAGTACTGTGCAAACGTTTTAGGTGTAGTAAAAATGCAAAAAATATACATGTTAATAGATTACATTTATCAATTAATAAAATTTAAGGTGTATTCAATTTGGCTTTGTTACTGAGTCAAAGAAAGAAATTGAAGATAATTGGAACAATAAATGTATAATAAATGCAGATACATTATAATAATATTAAGAACACTTTTTACTGTTGGTATTGGGTACTGTATATAATGCACTATAAAGAATAAAGATTTTGACTTTATCTTGGTAGAATAAATTTTTGATCACTAAGCTTTCAAAGACTTTCAGAGTTTTTTTGAGTTTTTTTGAGCTGCAACACTCTTCCTTGTGGTATCTTTCCTGACCAGGGCTTCCCAGAAGTGGTAGGTTGGCTGGATAATGTTGCGGCTTTGCTCAATTGCACATCCCTGCTCAGCGTCCTGCCCAGAACTCGTCAGCTTGTGAACAACATCACCACTGCATCCACAAAACCCTGGAACACGCAGCAGGTATCGCACAGCCCATCTTGCATCAGCACACTTTGTAGAAGCCATTATATTCAAACCTTTTTCCTCTGGACCTCTTAAAAAATGTGGAGACCCCAACACAGGGTGCATATGCTGAGTGATCAACAGTTAAGCCAAAGAGTCATTTTGACGTTGTGTTTGATCAAATGCTATAGAAGGTTAAAGAGCTAAAAGGTATTTACTATTTAACAAGGAAAAAAATAAATAGTTTGAGTAAATTTCAAAAATATACGTCCTGTAAAAATGCCAAATGAATGTGTGTCAAATTGAACAGTTGCATAGCATTAATGGTCAAATATTGAAATTGTATTAATGTAAGCAAAACAAGACACAAAAACAGAGACTAAATTAAAATGAAATTCATACAAATGTTTCCAGTGGCAGAATAGGCCATCGAGTCTTTAGTCCGTTCACAAACACTTGCCTACAGTATTTCAATATCTGAAATCCTCTTGACCAGTGACTTTTACTTTGTGTTATGATCTCTTTGTGCTTCCTCTAATTAAATATGCTTCCTCTATTTGTCATTAGAGGGTGTGTATGCCGGTATCTTGATTACTTGCTAAATTATTAAGAGGAGAAGCAAAAGCAAAGACGTCATCATCACTGACACTGTGAATGGACTTGCTGGTGAATGCAAACAACACAGAACAATCATCGTATCAGATTGCCCTTTTCTCTGATCATGAAAACCAGGAGAGAAAGCAGACTAGAACCTGCATAAACCAGCATTTTACTACCACATAAAACAACTTCATTTTCATCGTTTTCTTCCTCAGGCTAAAGCAATTTTTGAAGAGGTGCTTCATATTAAACCAAACCTAATCAAGTTAGATTTTCTGTAAGTATAATTAACTTCTGTGATAAATGTGTATACACTTTCAGTGCTCACTCCTTGTCTCCTTGTCTCCTAAATGTTTGAATACTATTGGCAGCAGATGCTCAAATGTTCTCACTCTCTTTTTAATTGTGTTGGTTGGTTCTTTGTAGCTGTATTTTACAGCTTTACAGTATATGTAACAGTCATGTGTATCTCTTGACACTCGCCTCTTTATGCAATCAGGAGTCTGGGAACAGTGGGTCAAGGTGTGAGCTGCAAGGTCTTACAGGAACGTTTTCGGGCTGATTCCTCACCTTCCTCTGTGAGAAAAATCCTGGCCTTCCTCAGGCAGCAGCCCGGTCCTCTTCACACCTCACTGGTAAGCTTAACCTGTTCGATTGATGCCATTCTTCTATATATTTGCATGTGGTGTCCTTATTTCTATATGACCTTTTGTCATGTGTCTTTGTTCTTCTGGACAGAAAAGGTGTGTGATCGAGGAGCTGTATCGGTTTGAGTTCTTCTCTGAATTGCTTAAAGATCTCGGAGCTGAGATTGCCCTGTCCCTGCCGTAAGTCAGAAGTTGGCATTAATCACTTCACTATTTACTATGTGTTTTCCCATATTTAAAATGATGTGGATATGAATTGTATGTCAGAAACCGTCAGTGAAAAATCACTGCATGTACTTTTTTTGCATGAAAGATATGAGAAACGTGTGTACATACCATGTTTGATATTAAAAAAGAAAGAGTACCGCCCAGAAATAGTTGAGTGGTAACATCCACTCTGGAGCGACATATTCCCAGAGGTAGAAGAAGTACTCAGACTACTTCATTACTGCATGCTGCATAGCTTGTGAATTTCCCCTTGGGGATCAATACAATTTTATCTTAATCTGTAATATTACTTTGTAATTTGTAATTCTGAATCTGCAAAGTAGCTAGTAAATAAAGTTATCAAATAAATGTAGATGATGTAAATGTAAAGGGCACAATATTTGTCTCTGAAATGTAGAGAGTAGAAGAGTAGTAGTATATAGTAGCAGTAAATGTAAATACTTCCAAATTGTAGTACTTGAGTAAATGTACTTAGTACTTAATTTTCACCACTGCATAGTCCTTTATTGACCCAGAAAAATGAAAGTGAAAGAAAGATGTTCTCTCCTTTTGAAAATAAATATGTAATAGTCAGATGTGGCTAACATTCATTAACTCATTGTCCAGTTCATGACTTGACCAAACATATTCATAAGAGGTTTTAACACCAGTTTCTGAATAATGATTTAAACACACATTGACTATATAATTTAAAGTATTCATTATTTTTTCCCTGTGTGTTTGTGTGGGTGCTTGCAGGGTGAGCACCATCAAGGCGTTTCCCCCTGCTTTGATGGACACTCTAAGGAAGATTATTATTCAGGACCCTCATCACTTTCTCTTGCTGTCTAGAACAAAACAGGAGCTGCTGGTGGACAAAATTGTGCAGAGGATGGTCAGTTAGAGCCATAGTGTGCTGCCATACAAAAGTTAGAGGGCAAAGAAACTAGATGAAGATGGAAAGCCAAGCTTTTGAGTTTAAAAACAGAAAATTTTGTTCAGCAGTGCAGAGTTTTAGTTGTTTGTTGTTTGTCATATTTGCTGTGTGTTCAGTTTTTTGTGGACTGTTTTTTCTGCAGGGCATGTACACAGGGGTGTTCACTGAAGAGGAGTTTCGTTCACTGGGCATTATGGCGTCGTTTGTGGTGGATGAGGTTTTCATCCAGCTGGACCGCAGCTTCTTTATTGAAAATCTGGATTTCCTCAGGGGCCTCTGCTATAGCAGAAGCAAGATGGACATTGTGGCTCGTATCCTGCAAGAACCTTCAGCCTTCGGGTAATGTTATCACCTTCAAAAGGGGCGGTTTTAATGCTTTATTGAACAATTAACAAACAATATTTATAGTATAGTAGGCAGTATAGTAGGCAGTATAACCGTGACATTACATATCCTTGGCATGTGTCTTATTAGTAAAAGGAAAACAATAAATATTCAATCAGAATACAAATATCTAACAAGAAAATTTTAATTGAATAGATAAATAAAAAGAAGTAATACAAAATGTTAAGGCTAAAGTTAAAACAACATGAAAACATTCCTGTAATTTCACACATACAGTTGTTCATTCGCAGCTTTTACATTTGTACACCCTGAATTTGTAAAAAAAACAAACATTAAAAGTGGGTGGGTTATTTTGTGAATTTGTATTTATATATACTATATTATTATATATCTGATCAGCACATTTCTCATCATGGCAAACAAGTACATATAAAAAATAAGCCTCAAAATGATGTGCATTTTAGAGTTTATCCAGTTTGTAGGATTTCCTCAACCTATAGGCTGAGACTTGTAAGTTTAGAGACAAGAGGGAAAACGTGAAAATTATGTAGAAGTGGTTTCATCTAACAAAGGCTCTTTGCATACCAGCTATTCACACGGCAGGAAACTGTGGAAAGATGATAAAGTGTTCTTATGTTTCCTCACAGCCCAGTCAAGAACTGGAACCAGACAACACTCAGTCAGGTGGACTGGTTTCTCTTCTTCCTGCCTGACGACAAACTGCAGGAGATTTCCCTGGTGAGTTTAACTGTGATTTAATTCATTTGGTATTACATCTTATTTGCTCCTGAGACTGAACAGATTGAGGAAAGTTTAAAGCTCGTTCCTGCAACAGATTCATTTGATGTCCAGAAATCTATAGAGAGTCGTTGGGATTGTTACTTGATCCCATGGCAGGTTAGGCCAACAAAGGCTGTAAATAAATCCCTCAGGTGTCAGATCTCCTGTTGGTGTCAGGATCAGGTGGTAAAATTCCTGTTTTCTGTAAACCACCAGTGTGTGTCTTGTGTCTCTACATGTGCATGATGTGTGCTGCTGTTTGTGTTCCCACAGGCGCTGATGACTGTGGGGCGTATAGAAAAGCTGTTCATGAGCTGGCGTCGGTGGGAACGTGGGGATGTGGGGATGCACTGTTCAGACGAGTACGAGAGGAGGAGGTTTTCTGAAAAGCAGCAGTTTGTTCTTCAGTTCTTCTTGGGCTTCCTCAAAATAAATCCTGGGTCACGTGAGCATCACTTTAGTTCCTAAACTCTCTGACATAACTCTAAATGTACTATCTAATGAAATAGTTTTACATTTGGGGGAATACACCTATCCTGCTCTCCTTGTGTGTGTGCTACACAATTTAGCAGTAGCCTAACTCCACTTGAAATAATGCGCAAGTCAGGATCTAGCGTCCAATCTCCTTTTAATTACTACACATTTCTTCATGGAGTAAACTGAAATACAAATGAAATAGCTACAATTAACTTAGCATCATTAGCACCATATGAACGCACTCCAACACACACCCATTAGCATTAACATACAACAACCAAAATCTTCATCTATAGCAAAATTAGCTCAAAACTACATAAAGTGTCCATACTACAATAAAATTAAGGGCAGAACAACACCATATGTCAGCTTCTACAACCAAGGCAGTTATATGAGAGCCTTTAACATAAAATTTTTTTTGGTTGTAATTAAAGTACAGGAAATTAACAGAAAAAGTAAAACAAATATATGTTTTACTTATTACAGAAGTTGTTGATGGTATTGCATATATTCATGTCAACACCATCTCCTGATCAGATATTTGTGTCTATGTCCTTTGCCAGCGACTCCTATGGTTCCTACCTGTGAGATTCTGCATACAACAGCTCCGTCCGCCTGGACCTCTAACAGTCTGACAAGCATGTCTTCATCGGCCTTCTCAAACTGTCTGGAGCTGATAGGTCATGACCCATTCCTTGTGTCCTACCAACGCAGCCAGGTGCTCAGAAAAGTCAAACAGGTGAGATTCATTTTGTAATCTTCTTAGCAATGTCTCAGATGTGTTTAATTCAAGGCTGTACAGGGTAGTTTTCCCCACTCAGCCCAGGACTTAATTCTGTGTCTGCTCTGTCTCGTGGGTCCCTCTGATGTGTGTGCATGCAGATATATGGCCCCGTCTCATCCTTCTCCCAGTCTGTGATCTCTCAGCTGGGTGGAATAGCGATAGAGCTGTCACTAGAGGAGCTGAGCAGCCTCAGACTGACTGAGAGAAGTAGCATCGCAGCTATGGGTTCTGTCAGTGCATGGAACAGCAGACAGGTAGGTGCCCACACCAACTACTTTGACTTTTTAAAAAAAAACATTATTTCTTTTACCCTATAAAAAATATTATGCTTTAAAAATGACCACTGATAATTCTTCAGTCTGATTAACAGACAGATGTCAATTAATTTCCAGTAGTCGGACAGCACAGCTGGATACCTCTGATGCAGGTGTTTGTTGGCCAATCTAAATGAACGCACCAGTATTAAACTCTAGGCTTATAGCTGATTTTAAACATGTTTGATATAAACAAAAATCATATAAGAAAACTAGACAACTCCACGCTACAGCCTTCCACTAAGTTTCATGAAAATCGGGACAGTTGTGTTTCTGTAATCCTGCTGACAGACAAACAAACATACGGCACCAAAACATAACATCCTTGGTGGAGGTAACAAATCACTGATGCTTTTAATTTGATTAAATATGGCAGTTTTTCAGAAAGTGGCCATGATATAAGTGGGATTATAATACCCAACAGAAAAGAACCACCTCATGCAAAGAAAAGGTTGGATGCAAACCTCTCTTTCTAATTATTTACATCAAAGAGTAGACTAAGTATTAGAAACACCTTTAACTATAACCCAATACAATTCAACAGGACAACAAAGCAAAGCATTCAAAATGACCATAAAGTTGAGTCAACTCCTCACTAAAAACACAAATTCACTATAACCTTCAGGGAAGTGGGACTTTTTGCAGGCCTGCTGTATCAGACTGCATTAGTTTTAGCTACAGTAATAAACTAAGTGTGTGTTCAAAGAGCATGACTGGATCATAATTCTTATTTTCATCCCAGATGGCTGCACTGTTTACCACTGTACTAAACTCCACCAAGCAGAGTCCAAGCCAGCTCGACTCCAGCACACTGGTGGCAATGGGACACTTTGTGTGCGGAGCTAAAACCACAGAGATGAATTCCTTTAATGCTGTAGAGTTCGGGTGAGCAGATAAAAACACATTTACAATTGTTACAGCCTTCTTTTTGAGCCCTGATGTTTGACACTTGAATGATTCTGCTGCCGACATTATTCAGCCATAGTAATATCCCCACCCTCCTACTTTTCTTGTGTTATGTCTCTCCCTGGTGGCTGCAGTAAGGCGGTGCTCTGGCTGGGTCGGCTGAGGCTGTCCTGCTCAGAGGAGCAGCTGCTGGCTCTGGTTAAACTGCTGACCAACGGCCTTGCCTTTGGACCCATAAGTTCATGGGGAACTGATGTCTTCATTGAGATTGGAGTTCTGGCAGGTATTGTGTATTCACTTAGCAATGTTCATACCTATATTCACCAATAAATGTTAGAGTGTCAGTTCTCAGTAGAGTCAACTGGACATCTGGCTCAATATCTGTCTGGTACAAATATCTTATTTGTGTTGCTCAGTCAAATGCTATGTGGTCCCCTAATTTAAAGCCACCTTGTTTTTTATTATTTGTTTTCATGATATCTTCTAAATGTATTCTTTCATTCTTATTGCTGGATTGCAGTTTTTTTTATTTACTTAGGCGATATATTAAGTTTCTTCACTTTCCTTGATACATTTTACACTTTTTACAGCTGGTCTCCCAGACATTGCTATGTCTGCTTTGGTGAAAGAGCAAATCGAAGGAATCACACCTCTGGCTATCTCAATGATACCACCTGATAAATTTGCTGTAAGTGGACATCCCATTAAAACAATTTCACATTTTTCAGAGGCTCATATCATGTGGATTTTAGAGCTAATTATTACATTATTTCACAGAAGTCCAAACTATCTTAATCGGTGCTCATGTCATTGCATTCACCTTGACAGCTCTTTATCTTGTCTTACCTCTGCTCTTCGCTCTGTCTGTTGTGTAACATCCTTAAGGTGGTGTTTGACCAGAGACAGATCAGCATGTTCTCCTATGAGCAGGCCGCAGCAATAACTGAGGTGCAGGTCTCTGCTCTGTCAGAAGTTCAGAGGACAGCTCTGGCTATGGTGCTCACACCGTGGGAGAACAAGCCTGTAGACTTCAAAGGTGAACCACTGAAATCTTTGAAACTCTTATTGTCTACTGATAATTGTAAAGAGGATCATTTTCATAAGCTTACTTTTTCTTGTTCAGTTTCAGAGCTCTAACCAAAGTTGTGTCCCAGTTCCACACTAATACTACACTGTAGTATGTTACATACTGATATTCATTACATAGTGGATTTGAAGTTAGCACTCCAACTATGCCTTTAGAACACTGTAAATAAACTTTTACTAAGAAACTTTTTTTTACCAAGAAACACCAAGTTTGACCAAGTTTTTTAAAAAAAGTAACACTTTTGTTTATCTTTTTTGCTTTCTTGTCTGAGATCATCCTGGAGCTTTCTCACCATCATCAGCATTTGTTTCATTTTATTCCAGCTTTAAGTAGCTCTTCTACTGTAGGCTATGTCGATTGTGCATCAGTGGCTTGGTGAAGTCTTTCTGTTGATTTCTGCACTTTATTCTAGGTGTACTACTAGCAGTTACCAGAAGTCAGATATTATCAAATCCCACACAAAGGGACCTTCATTTTTATTTAATTGTGAATGCATTGTATACAACAAACCCTGGTTAGAGTAGTATGTAGTGTGGAATTGGGACACATTACAGGACTCAAATGGGGCATTTATATATGTTTTAATGTTCTCACAATTGTATATATATCCGTTTGACAGACTTGAATGAATGAATCCTACATAAAAAATAAACAGAAACAGGTTCACTGAGAGTTCTTCTGTTTATTTGCATTGTTGTCATAATTGCTCTGAAAGAGAAATGTACCACTAACAGAAGAATATCACAACTGAACAACTTGAGAAAGTGTAATGGATGCTCTTAAATGTGTTTTACAGTGTTTTTGTAATTATATACAATGATGGATAACCCACAGGGATCGTGTTTTGCATGGCTCTAGTTGTTTTGCTTTGTTTTCACTGTGTTCCTATAGGGAGGTCACTGGGGCTGGCACTGAGCCACAGTCCTCTATGTCTCATGCTGGGACTGCTGATGCTGCTGATCCTCCTGCCCTGCCCTGACCTGATCTGCCCCGGCACATGACCCCACTCACCTCTGCTGGATCAGGAGACACCTTCTCACCCACATACCCAAGATTATCTCATTTATTCGTGCAATACTTCACCTCTTTGAAATAAGCAGCACGTATTTCAATATACTGTGTTTTATTAGATTGTAATTTATTTTGTGAAACTATCACTTTGACATATCAACATTCAGCACTGATGGAACCAAATTAATAGTTTAATTTTAAAAAAGCAGAGGGGGGAAAAAAAAAACACATTTTCACAGTATAAACTGTTTATCCACCAAGTCTAACCAACACCAACATAATAATTATCATTATTGTTGGTATTGGTGGTAATTTTTTTCATAAACCTATATGAACCCCTCCTGTCTCAATGTGTCCTTCTCAGGGATGTGACGCCATACCCGGAAAAGTGGCCCAAACATTTAAAAGATTTAAATATAGTTATTATACAGTTATTACGAGCAAATACGTTCTGTTTCAAACCTAAACATTTATATATTTTTGTGAAATTATATATATAATATTTTTGTCAGAGTAAGAGCTGTAATGTTTGCTACATTTATATATCTATTGTGAGTTATTTTGATTAGATAACAGGTACATAAAGCTCAGTAAGACCTGATTGTATTATTATTGATCAACTTCATTCTGTTTGTGCTGTGAGTTTTGTATTGTTGTGCACACACTCTGATGTGATGATATAGTCCTAAATTATTAAATTGAACCAGTCTGCCTCTTATTGACTCTTTTTTTTATTTAGCACAGTGGAATTGTTCAAAATGACATTCTCACATCTGCAGCAAAAGTTTGTGTTAAGTATAATGTTTATATATATATGTAGACATACAGCTCCCAACAAGAAGAAGAAGACATAGAAGAAAATAAAAATATAGTGGACTATATTAATTAAAGTCATTAACAAACTATGTGTATATATATTTATTTTGCCAAGTTTTGTAAGGTAACATAATGAAATAGTCAACATGAGATCGTAAGTCAAGGTTCTGACTTTTTAAGTAAAAATTACAATTTTGACTTACTATAACGATTTGACTTGACTCCTATTTTTGTCATAAGATTGTAAAAGAGGATTTTACTGCTGTAGTTGGTTGAGGTGGAGCTAATTTTGAACTACATTGTGTATGACCGCAACTAATGATTATTTTCATTATGGATAAATCTGCTGATCATTTTCTCCATTAATCATTTGATTTACTGCTTTGTAGAAATTCGGGAAAACAGTGAATGTTGTCCAGAGCCCAAAGTGATGCCTTCGCAGTGCTTTTTTTGTCCAATAAATAGTACAAAATTCAAAATAATGTAAGTTTAATTGGAAGGAAAGGCAGCAAATACTCACATGTGAAGCTGGAACCACAATGTTTTTGCGTGAAAGATTACTTTTAATGTTTATCAAAAGTTGCCAATTAATTTTCTATCAATCGAATAATTGACTAATCGTTAATCGTTACAGCAGTACTTAACAATATACATTTTTGAAGTAAGTAGTAACTAAAGCTGTCAAATAAGTGTAGTGAAGTGAAATGAAAGTGGCATGAACAGAAAAGACTCAAAGTATCTCAAGTGTACAGTACTTGAGGAGCTAAATGTATGCTATTAAATTCGACCACTGGTTGTCACATTATCCAAACCACGCGCCACACGATCCTCCTTATATTCACTATTTAATTAAATAAAAAATCCCCGGGATGCCATTTCAGTGTCATGTTGCTTGAAGTAACGATGGTCGCGAAGTAATGCAATTAGCTAAGCTCACAGACAGAGTGACGTCCAGAAGGTGGGAGCTGCTTCTGAACGTGGCCAACGGGCTGCAGCACTGACTTCACTGCGAGCCTGTCAAACACAACCAACACAGCCAACATGGCGGACTGGGGTAAGAAACTAAGTTGGGAAGGATAGCTATCTGTACATCATACGCTTCCCACAGTCTCCGTTAAACGAGCTCAACACTGTTGTGTTTTTGTGAAACCCGCTCGTTAGATGTGGATTGGCCTTACGAATTTCATGTTGTCGTTTTTACAGACGCTGAAACCTTCGAGCCGGAGGAGCCGATTAAAAAGGCGGCAGCGATGGACAAATGGGAAGGCGAAGACGAAGAGGAAGATGTTAAGGTAAATTAACATGGCAAACAATCGTAGAATAGGAGATAGGTTCTAGGACAGCCGCTGTCAGGTTAACGATAATCGAGCTGTTAGCTGGCCCGGTTATTGTCGAGCTAACTGTCGGTTGAAGCATTGTCGCCCCAGCTGTAGCGCCATGCTTCGGTGCGGTTTCAGGCTGCCTGTCAATCCTAATGTCCGTGTTAGCTGGAAGCTAACTTACTGCTAACTCATGTGGCTCCATCGGGCAGCCTGTACTAACTCCACATTATCTACCGCTATGCTAACGTTACTACTCGGCTTTCAATGTCGTATCGTTACCTCAGTACATGTCAGCGTGTCAATCGACGGTTGTGGCTTCAACTTAGTTTTCGGACACTAATGTTTGTTTTTATATGAAACCTGACAACTGGAGATGCCATTCTTGCATAGCGGGGCTAAATTTGGATAACGTAGCGTTATCTCGCTTGAAGCTAACATCTTACCGGCTAACTCGCTAACTTTAGCTCCCTTATCAGCTTGCGACTGAAAATGAGCTTACATGTTGGGTAACGTCGACGATACCGCCGTTTACGTTAACCGAATTGGTCTGGAGTTCATGTCCAAAGTTGTGTGCATTAACGTTAAATGATTAACGTAACAGGAGATTAGCATTTGTGTCGTGTCCTGAATTCTGTCTGCCGAAGTTACGTTTAACACGAGACAACGTTAGCTTGCTAACCAACTTTAGCCACAATCAGATGAAATCATCATCTGGGTTGATGACTCAACCAAGACCTAGGCCTAGAACTTTCTGACTTTACAACAGGCTTGTAGTTGGAACCCGGTGCTCCGTTAATAATGCATTACAGGTTGTTTTTTTGCCTGAATGTTGACGTGGTGGCTGTCCAGAAACACCAGATATTGTACCCCGGGAAAATGCTGGTAAAGGCCTCTTCAATTGTTCCGTTTTCTGTCATATGGTGCCCAAACTAAAGGAACTGATGATTTCATGTTTGTGACAAACCAGGGACTAACACAATGAATTACAAGCCAAAAATAAATTAATGTGTAATCCAAAGTGGAATGTATCAAGCTATTTTTGTATTTACAGTGTATGCTCAAATACAAAAGTCTCCCTGTCAAAGAAAATGTGTGTATCATTTGTGTAAAGTTGAGTTAGTTATTACATTTACAGTTTGTCTTACAGTGTCTTACAATTTTCCAGACTTTTAGTTATTGAATGATGGTAATAGATCGGATTTAAATTATGATTGTGGGTATTGTTGGAGTGTAGTACATCACTGACTACTTGGTAGACCTTGAATTTCATGTTTGATATTGGTTTGTGGATTGGTAATCATATCAACACTAGGGGACACATTTCTTATGGCAGTGTCAAGTAGGTCTGGTCATCTCAATATTAATTTCCAATAGCAATATATATCACAATGCAAGATGTATGCAAAGTTGCACATAAAATGATCAAACTAATTTTGGAAGTTTTTCTCTGATTCATTCATTTGACAACAAAAAATTGTAGAACAATTATATCAAAGCAACATAATATGTTCTCACTGAAATTTGAAAAATTAGGATATCTGAATTATTCCCTGTCCCCAGTTTCAAGGTTGTATTTGTCTAGATGGACTTTAAGTCATCCAGTAGTGTGTGTGTGTGTGTGTGTGTGTGTGTGTGTGTGTGTGTGTGTGTGTGTGTGTTTTTTTTTTTTTTTTTCAACTTCAATTGCCTAGATGCCTATGGATACCTGATGTGTAGTTGCATTAATTTAGGCTGTAAACCTGTGTGAACTCTTCATCATTTAAATCATGACAGATTTATAATTGAAATCGTGGAATTTTTAGGACATTGTGTGCGTGTTTATGGGTATTTTTTAGAGCCCGGGTACCGATTTTAAAATCCGATATTGCAATATGGCATATTTTTATATGGTTAACAACTGTTAATATGGCATAACACTTAAATATAAGCTATGTCGTGTGTGTAGCATGAAGGAACTACAAATTTAGTTTCGTTATGCAGCCTTGTGCTGTATAATGACTAATAAACTACCTTGATACCTTGACATTTGTCTCAATTAGTGTTTTTTGTTTTTTTCACCTTTTGCCTGCGTAATAAGATAACTATCCCACTGTTTTTAATCACAGGACAATTGGGATGATGAGGATGAAGATGAGGAGAAAAAAACAGAGATGACAAAAACAGGTATGTATTACATTGCCACCTGTTTGACAAGAACCTAATACATTATTTTGTATATTAATCAGTGGCTAAGTTGTCTGCTTTTTCTGCCAGTTAACATGTTTTATTATTTATTTTTTCCTTCAGAGACAAAGGTCTCTGAAAAGAAAAAGCTGAGTGAGAAGATAAAAGAGAAAGAAAACCGGTTAAAGAAAAAACTGCAGGAGCAGAGGGTGAAACAGTTGGCGGATCAAGTGAGATTTGTTTATTTTTACAGTTTTCTATATAATACACAAACTGTTGCCTTTTTGTCATCTCCAATGCTTTAATTTTGACTTTTTGGCACCTGTTATTACAGAAAGAGGAGCTCACTCCTGAAGAACAACTTGCAGAGAAGCTAAGAGTGAAGAAGTTACAGGAAGCTGCAGACTTGGAGCTTGCAAAAGATGCTTTTGGTAAGCCAGAATCTCATTTCAGATTTAAAAATAATAATTTTTTTGAAAACTTCTTGTCCATTTTTTAAAAGCAAACATTCTGTAGTCTTCCACAAGAGACATAACTTCCCCTTTTGTATAAATGAAACTGCACTTTATGTAATTTATATTCATTTAATTCTTGGCTTGATTGCTCCCTTGGTTTCTTTGACTTTTCACAGACCCTGTTGTTCATACTGTGTAGATACAATTTACTGCAGCTCATTATTCATTCAAACCAAATCCTCTTTCTAACTGGATTGGGTTACTGTAACATAAGCATTTCTGAACCTTCACCAATCTTTTCCTAGCCACTAAAAGCAGCAGCATTGTTTTGTATCATTGAAATAGGGTGTGTCTAATAACTGTATAATGTATCTTTATACTATAGAAAATGTATAGAAAAACTCAAAAAGAAATACTCAGTTTTTCGTTTTGAGAAATATTAAATACTATACTATAAATTGTTCTTAAAACAAGAGTTTCAACATGTTGTGAGGGGTGGGCATAAATGAAGTGTACTGTATATGGTCTACATCCTGACTGATACTGGAGTTTTGGGACAGATACCTGATAATGAGATTTAAGAATTTAAAAAATCTGATAATGAAATCTGCTGATAGTACATTTCTAAAAAGAAATCCATAACAAAAAGAAACAAACTTGACATGGATCTTGCATATTCGTTTTTGTTAAGAATTGTGACCAAGATTCATACTGAGTTGGACATTTTACAACTTGTCACTGTTCTCTGGTGGACAAACTATATAATGGTGACATTATTTCTGAATGACCACAAACCTAGTTTGGCATATCAGCGTCTTCAAATCAGCCCAGCTTGAAAACCTTGAGCTAAATTGTTGCAAGACTAAAATTGGAAACCTAGAAAAAACGCTAACAAGATAAAATGTTAGAATAAAAATGGGATGTTAGGAGTAGTAGAATAAAACCAGCAACAGATTAAAATGGAGGAAGACAACATTACAAATAAGTCAGAAGGCGAAACCCAGGTCACCTTGGTTTTTATGCATGATTGAGTTGTTGTGAGGATGGCCTAAGTGACCTGGAAGCAGAATATGGTGTTAGCAGATCAGTAATGTATTATGGAACTAATCTATTTATGGCTTAAAAAGCAAATAGTATTTCACTGTAACCAGTGCAGGTGAGCCAGAACAGGAGTGATGTGTTGTCTTATCTTTGTTCCAGTTAAGTGTAGCAGCTGTATTTTGAGGCAGCCGCTAGTCTAATATAAGAGTAGGGTGTTGCTGACTTTGTATTTCCTTATAAGAGACATAAAACTGACTTTATTTTTTTTCTCCAGGTGTTAGCAGCACTTCAAACAGTGTCACTGGGATTGACGCCATGTGTCCATCTTCCAAAGAAGACTTTACAGAGTTTGAAAAATTGCTGAAAGAAAAAATATCCCAGTTTGAAAAATCTGTGCATTATTCAAGTTTCTTGGATTCATTGTTTCGGGAACTCTGTATTTCATGTAAGCCCCGCATCTATTGTCATTTTTACTAAACAATATTGATTATTACGCTCATTCACTTTACCAATAGCTTAAATTTCTTTGACTGGTAACTATTTTTTGTCTCCTTCTTATAGTGGAAGTAGATGACTTGAAGAAAGTCAGCAATTCCCTGTCAGTCCTACTTAGTGAAAAACAGAAACAAGAAAAAGTGAGTGCCTGCATGTTTGTATTTTCTTATAAATTCTGAGCTGTGAGTAATATTCAGAAGGGGGTGCTGTTCACCTTGCCCAGTTACCCAGTGAGGGCTCATAATAGAAATCAAGTGCGGCATGCTCAGTCTGGTAGTGTATTCATAATTGTGGTTTCTATACTGAATCAAAATCAACGGTCTTATGTTTTTTAATTCAAATGTAACATGCCTGTTTACTGGCTGGTTTTGCCGTAAATGTATTGTCATATATATTGTATGGCATTTAATGTGACTTTCGTTTGCCTTTAATAGCAAAACAAAGGAAAGAAGAAGAAGAAAGGAGTTGTACCTGGAGGCGGTTTGAAAGCACAGCTGAGAGATGACCTTGACTATGCAGAGTTTGATGGTGGCTACGCCCAAGACTATGAGGACTTCATGTGACACTGGCTACATCACCACTGCCCTTTTCCCCTCTCAACCCTCAGAAATGCAGCTGTACCTTCTCATGCTGTCCAGTGCCATCCTGGAAAATCTGAACTATGTGTTGCCCCCTTCATTTTGCTTCAATGACCAGAGGGACTATACCAGGGAGCATCCAGCTTCACCAGCTCTTTATGTTCATACATATGGAATTGCCTTTTCTGTCTCATTCAGCCTCGATTCTCTCACATACACACAAATAATCATGTAGTATCTGTGACCCAGCTTCAATGGAGAACACATTGTAACTGCTGTTGTCTGAGCTTTGCAGGGCACATTTTTTATTAAGTGTTGCTCCTTTTTAAAAATGGCAGATACAGTATTGCAGTTATAAGTGCAGTGACATAGAAACACAAGGTTCTATGCAAATTCTTTAACCAGAATGTCATGTATATATTATAGGTCTCACTTACCTGTGGATGGTTCTCTTACAGGAAAGTATATAGTATCTATAACTTTGGTTGCCAAATTCAGAACAATTATTCAATACATTATTCATCTTTATCTCTGGAAGGGTTGCATTGTGGATGATTTGAGACTGACGCAACATGTAAGTAGTAATTTTACAGAAAGCACATGACATTCACTGTACGGTAAAAGGGATAGACAAGTATAATAAATGTGACTTTAAAACCTCACAGCCATTCTCTTGATACATCTCTGGAATATCCTTGAAAATATGGAGCAAAGAGTGCGTGTAGGTATTTTTTGTGCATGACATAATTGTAATTTACTAATTTGATTTCTACTAACGCAGAAAAAGTATAGATCAGGCAAGTGGATTAACTTTGCTACGACTGGTCTCCTAAATCATTGCTTCTGCAGGCTTGTATCAAGTGTGATGAGGAGCGAGGGCTTATGGGCTTCACCCCACCATGTCTTCATATGGCCTACAGTTAGTTGAAAGGGGTGTATTTCTCCTTTTTTCTTTTCTAGCAGTTGACCAGTTTCAATGTTACATGGACAATTGGATACATAGAATGTTGAGATACAGCATCTGCAGTGTTTTTTAAGCATCTAATTTAATAAATCGCTGGTCAAAAGGATATGTTGTGTTTTTTAATTATTGAAAGAAACTTTAATGTAGTAGCATAACACCCAGGTCACTGATTATTAAAGCATGTGTAATAAATACTCTATTTACAGTTTCAAGTAATGATTTACCACAGTACAGCTGAAAATATAAAGTGAGACAGAAATCAATGCAAATATTCCTTTAGGAAAAAGTGGCAAGAAATAGGCCTAGCTTTGTTTAGTTACATATTCAGTTAATTTGGAAAAAGAAAAGTCCCTACAAAATGTTTGTATCAAAATATAAGGTTAACGTTATCCACTCCCATCTCCATTGCTCCATTGCAGGTGTTGATTTGGTCACCTTAAGTGGTGTTTAGCTTGTGGCTGCACGTCTTCCTGTAGGATTTCTGGCACTACGTCTACGACTGCTGCGGGGTGCGTTGGCCCTCTGCCGGCGTTTGTTCTGTCTGCCTTCTCTCACCACACTTGTTATTATCTGACCTTGAGGACTTTGTACTGCCTGAAAGGCACTCTGACGTGTCGCGTCATGATCTCCGCAGGTGAACGTCAGCGCTACGCCCTCATTGCTCTTCATGACTCGAGATGTACCATCAGAAGTGCCATCAAAGCAGCGTCCAAGTGCAATCTCTTTAGCTGTGCGAGGATCCTGGTCTGTCACCGTATAAATTCCATAGTTATGGCCCAGAGGGTCAAGAGGTGCTAGCATGGTGAACTCATTGGTGTCATTGTTGACTGCTAAGGGCAGGTGGTTGACCAGATACTCCTGAAGTATTTGGTTGACATGATCTCTCTTACAGCTTCCTTGAGGAATTACCTTCACCAGGGTACGATCCACACGGTCATGATCATACAGCATCCCACTGCACTTGAACTCCAGGCACACAGCTGAAAGAGTTGCCTGGTCCATGTCACGGATGCTGCGAGTGTCTCTGAGACCGTACAGTTGGCCTGCTGTTTTCGGGTGGGTGCCACCCATGTTTCGAGACCGCACATTGATCTCATGTGGGCTGTTGATTTTGACTTTGATATAGCAGGCCCGGTATTCCATAGGCTTAGGCCACCAGCTCAGGTAGTCTTGTGTCCAGCTCATTGGGTCATCTTCATTGAACGGCACTGTGTTGTAATCGTAGCGGTCTCCTTCTACTCTTGAAAGCGGAAGTGTGCTGCACTGAATGGGGCCTCCTCACATTCTTTCAAGTTCTCAAATGCGTACACTGGTCCGTTGCCTTCCTCAGCTGTGTTGGGGCTTGGTTTTGCCACACTGATGCTGAATGCTGTCTTCTTCACTCTGGAGTCTTCATGGTCAGACCGCCTGTAGTTCATTTTACCCAGGAATGGCTGGGGTACTCCAATGAGGTTGGGATTGAGTTTGGGAGCAGAAGGGACAGCCTCCAGCTCCTCTCCTCCGAGATTGGCCATGACATAGGCAGAGTAGGCATCCGCTTTTTGTTCATCACAGAAGGCAGGAAGACAGGCACCGCTGGGGCCGGTAACGGCACTATCAAAGCGGCCCCAGGCACGTGGGTTAGACGAGAAGCCAGATGTGGGCTCCATGTTTATGAGACTCACTACAACTCCCTCCACTTGCTCACTGGGCATGAAGCGCTCACTGCGAAAGGCCCTCACTTTCACATAACACCTGCGGTTCTCTGGGACGTCCAGGTTAAAAAGGCGTCTCTCTCTGATCTCCATGTTACCAATCAGAAAGGTTCTCTCCTCCCTTTTGCCTCTTCTTTTCTTCTCTATCTGCAGACTTCCTTCTTCCTCCCATAGGCCAGTTTCAGGGTTCAGCGACCACAGCTTCATGGTACTGAGGTGCTCAGACATCTTCACCTGGGCAGAATCCAGAAACACCTTCACTTCACCTGCATTCAGGGGCTCATTGTTTTCCTCACCCCTAAAGTCAACTGAGAACATCCCGTAGGTTCTCAGCGGCAGGGTATCACCTTCCTCTCCTACAAAGTTTAGATCACTTTGAGCTGCTGCAGCTGTGGAGACGTCTCTGGGGTCGAGGAACGTTAAGCTAGCATTTACGTTACCAGTGAAGACTTCCCCTTTTTCTGTATAGAAAGAATTGGGAGGGATCTGGATTTGAACCATTGCCTCCTGGCCCTCTACCTCCCCCAGCTCCAGAGTGTTGATTTCTGTAGAGCTGATGGTCACAGGAGCTTTCTTTCTTAGAAGTTTGATCTCATGGTAAACAGCCCCTCCCTTGGTGTTAAATGGGAGTACCTTTGTGGTGTTGACAAATTTCTGCATGTTGTCCACAAAAGTCAGAACAAGCCTCTCTGTGTCTGGAGGCACCTGGATGGAGAATGTACCCTTGTAGCCTGTGCGGCTGATTCTGACTCCATTCATAAAGATATGGCCAAACCTCATTGGTTCACCATTGTCTGCTGCAATGGCCCTACCGTGCACAATTGCCTTGGTGTCCACACATTTCTGGCAGCCACACTCAGTCACCACCATAGCTGGCAGTTGGTAGTCCTGGCATGTGAGCTGCCTCTTCTCCATCTTTTGCACACCACAACAATAAGCCAAATTGTCTTTGCACCTGATGACATTGTCCAGCTGTCCTGCACATGTACTTGAGGGACACTTGCCCACGTCGTAGTAGAAGGAGTCTGTGCTGTTTTGATAGCAGTCAAGTGGAAGATGGATGAGGTGGGATTCAGGCTTGGGATTACATGAAAGCTCATCTCTACCTGTGCAGGAAAATGTTGATGTAGTTTAATGATACTGCCATGTTACAGAGGTAAAATAGAGTAAATAGCCTATTGAAATAACTACTGCTCAAAGTCTGTTGATTCACATTCCTGTGTAATTAATGTGTGCATCAATTTATTGAGAACACACCTAAGATTTTGAGTGTAGCAGGTTTGGTCTTAATAGCCCCAGATGGACCACTTGCTCTGCAGTGGTACTCCCCAGTGTGCTCAGGACGCAGATGCTTTAGGACCAAGGTGCTCTCAGACTGCTTCTCCAGGAGACTGTTGTTATGAAACCTATTCGTTCCCACAGAAGAAAAGAGAAGCAAAGTCATTGAATATACCATATTATTCAAACATTGGATGTATCTATGTGACTTGTGGATTATAATTTCAATATTACATCCTAAATCCTACCATTGGTACTTGTCAGGTGGTGGAGTTCCTGCCACTTTGCAGCAGAAGGCAGCAGTTTGTCCCTCTCTCCTGACCTTGCTCTCAGGGTTGCTCAGCACACGAAGTTTCTCTGGCAAATCACAATTGTATATAAAACAACAGATTACGTATTAGCTTCCTTGCAAGCTTATCAAACTTGCCAGTAATATGCATCTCAAAGTGAACTTTTTGTTTATTAAGGTAATGTGAATTGCAATTATTATTTTGGTGTAAATCCACAGACATCCACTTTACCAGTTCTTTTTAGCTGGACACTGAGGACAGAGATACGTTCAGCACTGTGGGGCACAACAACGCTGTGGGTGATGTGACCCTGCAGGCTGACTGTCAGGGTGGTGTTGCCATCAGGGCAGATACCAGGAATGCGGAAATGTCCATTGTGATCGGTAAGGGTAAGGAGTTTGCCAGAGCGAAGGATGGTAGACCCTTCAGCAGTGAGACCCCCGGCACCACGAACAGAACCCAGCAGGATGTGTTCTTCGCACATGCATGCATCACACTCTGCATTTACCTTCCCCATCACACACTGCAGGGAGCAATCTAAACAGGAGAGTTAAACAAGGTCAGCCATTTTCTAAATACTGAGTCTCTCACCGCTGATGAGCTAAGTCATGACCTGACTGAGTGAAAAGAGAATTGCAGTGTGTCTGACCAAACCAGGGTTAGCTCACCTGATTTCAGGCACTCCGGTCCATTGCATCCTCTCCTTTCCGCTTTAGACCCACTGCAAGGCCTAGATTGAGATTGGCAGTTTCTGGAGCGCACTTGGACCCCGACCTGACCACAAAGGGCAGGGCATGGGCTCCAGTCTGACCATGGACCCCAGGTAGCCTGAATGTTCACATTGTTATCTGTTGGAGAAGAGAGTGCAAGTCAAATAATCACCTGAATAGATTAAACATCAAAGCGGTCTCTTATTAGCATGTGTATCACCAGCAAACTCAAAACTTATGGTATTGTGGAGTTGCTTTTACATTGAGACCACCTTTGGGTGACTAAATTAATATTAAAGGTGTTACAAGACTGAACCTTTGGGACAGAGGAAGCGGACTGCGTAGTTGGAGCAGTTGCGTTCATGACCCTGCTCCTCATTGAGGCACCAGAAGCCCACAGTGGGGTCTGCATGGATCTTCTCCCCAGTTTCACGGGCTGGGACCCAATCAGTGGTTCTGGCTTCGATTGCCCGGGGAGTCTCGCACACTCGGGCACGGTAGTAGAAGCGAATGGCATCCAGCTGCTCATAGTCTCCACGGCCTCCGGGGTGATCAACATTGAACCATGTTGTCCAGTCATAGTTGTCTGGACACAGAGTACAGAAGCAGACATGGCCTGAACACAATTTCTTACCAAAATACTAACACGTGTAGTCTAACATGTGTTGGAAATGTGATTCAAACTACCAGGAAAAAGGACTTTTGTGACTACCGGTACATATTCGG